TGAGAGCTTGTATTAACTGGGAATTCTGTGCGTTGATTTTTCTGTATTCTTTTCTCACTTTGGCTTGGTTGCTGTAGATTTTCTATGCTTAAAAATCATCCTGCATATAGACAGTAAAGTCTCCTGCCCTAGAGGGCATCTTTTGTATTTATATTATACTTCTTGTCAGTTTCTAAAGAAGATATCCCCTCATGTTCTGGTATAATAATGGAGTTCCTTGATTCAAACAATCCTTATTTTAAGTTGGAGACTGAATCATGCCTAAAAAGAGTTAAATTTTATGTCATTGTTAAAGTGTTTCTGATGATATCAGTGAACTAAATTTCATTTAAAATTTACTAAAGATTAGATATTTGCTTTATTTGACAGGGATTCTTCCCATACCTTTGAGTTCCATTGGATTCAGAAATGATATGCATTTAGTACAGTGACGACACAAACAAATGTTTCCATGCTATACTCTTTTTTTATCTGGCAAAGGAGATGATATCTCCCTCTCTTTCATGAGTGCCCTTTAAAATCACAAAAGAATTAGCAATCTTAGTATTCCTTTTGAATTTTACTTCAGCACACTTTGTTGGACTATCCTGGCTAGAAATTTAGATAAGATGTTTGGAAACTTGTAGTAATATCATTAATGCTCTATTTTTTCATTTCAACATCTGTAGGATTTAAATATCAAAGCTTTTCTGAAGGGAGACATGGGCAAAATATGTTGGTGGGATAGAGCTACATCATTCTAACTGATTTCTATAACTTAACATATAGAGTTGATGCATTACATCTGAGGAAATTAAGTTTGTCCGGATTTTCTGTATGATGAAAATATGTTGGTAGTTTCAGACGAGACTCAATTTCGTCCTTGCTTCTGGAATATTGTTGCTTTGGAAAACACTTTCTCACAAGTTGTTCAATCTTTCAATTGTCAGTATAGGTTAGATTTCCTTCAGAACATTTTCAGTGAACTAGATTTGAGAAACTTTTGGCTTTTGCTTTTGGACTATAGAGAGAAGTAATTTGGAGTTTATATTTGAAGGCTTCAAATTTGTGTACTTTTTTTCTTATCAAAAACAAAATCTTTCTATCAAACTTGTCACTGGCAGGGCGGTGGGGCAAGATGGGATGGATTCTTTTATTGATTTTTAAGATTTTCTGGTGTGATGGTATAGGATTTCATTTAAGGAAACCTAGAAACAGGCAGATCATAATTTAATGAGGAAAATTGTGCGAAACTATGTTGTGTTACAAGCATGATAATAAATAAAAGAAGGTTGACAAGTAGGAAGAGAGAAAAGGGAACTAGTACAATATAAGCATTCAGAACCCTCTGTACATACAGAAGTGCTTGAAATCCATCACCTCAATCCTTCCAAGTTTAGATACAGTGTGAATTTGTATGTGTATTTGTCATGTACATGCAGTTCTTTTTCGTTTTATTTTTCATTTTCAGTTCTTTTACTTGCAAGCTTTGATGCTGCAAGACGGTAAACTAAATATGAAAGCATATTAAGACTTTTAACAAATTATGGACAATAATAGATTTAACTCATTTGAGAACACCTCTGAATAAGCTGAAAAAAATACTTAGAAGAATTCAAATGATCCATGATCGATAAAAGTATTGCAGAGGTTTTGTTGTATATGTTGCAGTCTGTTTATTTTGATAGTTTGGTGAAATTGGAAGAATAATAGTCATTTTTATGTGGTTGGATGGAATGAATTATTAATTTCTTTCTATATTAGGGCTGTAAAAATAATTATTTCACTGTTTGTTTACATTTTTAGGTTGAAGCAAATGACTGATGATCTTATGCATTATCTGTGATTTCTAATGTTCAATATTTGCAAGCTTCTTCCAATTTCTGAACCACTAATTATCTCAATAAGAAGTCTTTGTCACTTTGGTTTTGCCTGAGGAGGATTTTCTTGCTTTTAACTAATTTTTTGTTTTATCATCTATTGTTCTTTTGAATGGTTTTGGATCATTTATGCATAGATGAATTATTAGTTGCTCAAGTTTGTGATGCACTAAGAAACTACTCTGATTGTTGGCCATGTGATCTAGAGATGCTGGGCATCTCCTGGCTAGTAGTTTCCCTCTTTTATCCTTGTTGAAGTGTTCAACAACATTATTTTGTTTTAGCATGTCCTAGCCACTGCTGTGTTTAAGTATATTAAATATTTTGGTTCTACCCTGAAATTGGGTGAACTTGATACAATATTGAACTTCTGGCTAATTTCTACTTCCCATGATGATTGTGAAGACTGATTGTGTTGGTGATTTTATACTTATTAATGTATATTTGTGTTCTTTCTTTTTAAATGTATATTATTTTGTGATTTTATACTTTGATTTAGAATTTTTTTAAATGTATATTTGTGTTCTTTGTTCCCATTGATGGAGCGTCATTTTAGTTTATCGTTTCTATTTATTTAAGTTATGCACCTTGTAATTTTTTGTTTATCGTTTATATTTTTTTAAGTTATGGACCTTGCCGCCCATAAGTTTTCTTCTGGGAAGAGAAATTATAATTATTACTAGTCTTGTGATTCGTTATTGATTGTTGTAAGTTCTGCTTTGCTCTGATATTTTTGGTGTAATTTTTTTCAGTCGATTCTTGCAATGTAGAGGACCATTCGCAAAAAGACGACACCCGTCGGTGGATTCTACAGTTGTTTCTGAAATACGAAGATGCCTCGAGGAGGGAATTGAATTCCAAGGCGATTTGTTGAATTTTAGAAAGGATGGATCTCCTTTGATGAACAGACTGCGTCTTACACCTATATATGGAGATGATGAGACAATCACTCATGTTATTGGAATCCAGTTCTTCACAGAGGCAAACATCGATCTCGGTCCAGTGTCAGGTTCTTCAATAAAGGAGTCTTTGAAGTCATCTGATCGTCCTCGTACTGGAATTTCTGCTTTTTGTCCTGTTGTAGTTGGGGACCGAAATGTCTCTCGTGGGCTTTGTGGAATATTGCAATTGAGTGATGAGGTACTGTCTCTCAAGATACTTTCACATCTGGCACCAAGAGATATTGCATCCATTGGTTCTGTCTGTAGGCGACTTTATGAGCTGACAAAAAATGAGGATCTTTGGAGGATGGTCTGTCAAAATGCATGGGTTGTGAGACTACACGTGTTTAGAGACGGTTCCTGGTGCAAAGAGACTTGGATGGGTAAGGCTGGCAAGAGAATTGACCACTCTTGAAGCAGTTGCATGGAGGAAACTTACTGTTGGAGGTGCTGTCGAACCTTCACGGTGCAACTTTAGTGCTTGTGCTGTTGGTAATCGAGTTGTGCTTTTTGGTGGTGAAGGTGTAAACATGCAACCAATGAATGACACCTTTGTATTGGATCTAAATTCCAGCAAACCTGAGTGGCAACATGTCCAGGTGAGTTCTCCTCCGCCTGGTCGTTGGGGACATACACTATCTTGTGTAAATGGATCTAATCTGGTGGTATTTGGAGGCTGTGGAAGGCAGGGCCTGCTTAATGATGTCTTTGTGCTAGATTTGGATGCAAAGCCTCCAAGCTGGCGAGAGATCTCAGGATTGGCTCCTCCACTTCCTAGATCATGGCACAGCTCCTGCACTCTTGATGGGACCAAGCTGATTGTTTCCGGTGGTTGTGCAGATTCTGGAGTACTTCTTAGTGATACTTTCCTGCTTGATATTTCAATGGAGAAACCTGTGTGGAGAGAGATACCTGTAGCATGGACCCCGCCTTCTCGTTTGGGTCACACACTGTCTGTTTATGGTGGTCGGAAAATATTGATGTTCGGTGGTCTTGCCAAGAGTGGTCCACTCCGGTTTCGTTCTAGTGATGTATTCACAATGGATTTAAGCGAGGAGGAGCCATGCTGGAGATGTGTAACAGGGAGCGGAATGCCTGGTGCTGGAAATCCAGGTGGCATAGCTCCACCTCCAAGACTTGATCATGTCGCTGTGAGCCTTCCTGGTGGAAGAATTCTCATCTTCGGTGGGTCGGTTGCTGGTCTCCACTCTGCTTCCCAACTTTATCTCCTGGATCCAACTGATGAAAAACCTACGTGGAGGGTACTGAATGTGCCAGGGAGGCCCCCAAGGTTTGCTTGGGGCCATAGTACTTGCGTTGTTGGTGGGACAAGGACTATTGTACTCGGTGGTCAAACGGGCGAGGAGTGGATGCTAACCGAGCTCCATGAGCTATCACTGGGAAGTTCAGTTATCTGATCTCTGTCGTGGCTAAAATAGCATGTGCATGAAAAAGAAAATAGAAAAAATATGATATCCATTCAAAATGAGAATCCTCCACCCCACGATTGAGATAGAATTCTTACTACTTGATTGGTGAAAATCCATGGGGGAAGAAAATAAGTGAAAAGAAAGTAGCGTAAGAAAAGACTTGAGGAACAGGGTCAGGTGATGCCAGAGAACTTTTGTATTAGGTGATTGCCCTGTGATGCAATTTCGTGAACCAGGTGGTTGTGGCTCGGGATAAAAACCTTGAAATGAGTATCTTGGGAAGTTGTTCTTTGTTTGTTTTTCTGAAGGTTTGTGTGAACTGCCTGACAATGCTCACCATGGATTATTCTTGTTTCATAGGGATAGTATATTAGTAGAGTAACAAACAGACAGACACGTAGGTAATTTATCATATATAAGCTGTTGTGTCCCATCCGTTTAGTTGATGTATTATGTAATTAATAAAAAAAAATGCATTAGAGGGATCTTGCTTTTTCCTTTATAATTTCGGATGGGTAATGTGTATCATTTCAAGGTTCAAACTCAACTTCTGAAGAAACAGAAATCTAACTGAGGTGTCTATTAACACAAGAAAAAGAAACAAATTGTCTCGCTTTTCTAAAATGCAGTCACTTGATAAAATTGTATGCATGTATAAATGAAGACACGAATCCCTAATCAACATACGAAATTATCGGCCGTCCTTGCAGCTGGTACTGATCTCAAGCTACGGTTTAGATATTTGGCGTTTATACTTTTATCAACTAGACTATAGCTTCCTCCATTAGTGATGTTTCAGGGGGGGGGGGAATAATGTCCCAGTTCTCTTGACGCGACTGCTTACATTTATCGTCATCGGGAAATGGTGGTATACAAATATGTTACTAAATGGCCCTATACAGTCACTCGACAGCAACTGTTCTCTTTTCCAATAAAGACTCGAGGAAAGATGAGCACAGTTTGGTGAGGGGTGGAAGATTATGAGATGATCCACTGAATATGGTTTCCCAGGGTCTCTCAGATGGAAATGATGGAACCCAGGGAGTCTTGGGCCTCTTCTCGTCAAACTCCGGCAACTCTCCATAGATGGTTGCATACCCGTACAGTCCGCCTTGTCCTGGAGAGAGAGAGAGAGAGAGAGAGAGAAAAGAAGACGGTAAAATCAATCCACGGAGAACATTGTTTCAGTAAACTTATCATGATAGACTGAATTTTTCTTGTGTTTGTGAGCGTGCATTTTGGGAAAAAGAAGAGCCTTCCTACATGGGACCCTAGCTACATGGATAGCAAATCTACCATTGCATAAAAGAAAGAATCGCATGTATGTAGGTATTTCATAAAAGAAAGAATCACGTGTGTAGTTAGGATTCCCATTAATAGTGATGATAGCGCACTAGCTAATGTCATGAACTTGGATAATATGATTATTGAAAAGAAGCCTGACCTTTGAGTTCATGGGCAGAAAGGCTCGCCTGTTGGCTCATGCTAACCTCACGAGCATCTTTGCAGTATGGATCAAAAATAACATATTCATGATCACCATTCATATATGCAAGCAACACCTCAGGTGTTTTACCATCTATACTGATCTCTTCAACAAAAGATGGATTTACTCGAAGAAAACCAAGATCCCCACCCTTGGCCTGCAATAACAAATAAAGAATCATGCTACAAAACAGTTCTGCACTATGCAACAAAATGATTTCCATGTATGCTGAAATTGGAGCAAGAAAATACACACATTCACGTTCTCATAATCAAAACATGTCTGGCGTCACAACTTGAAAGTCAATAGAGAAAACAGAATCAATATTCAACGTTAAGAGTAGTGTGTGTGTGTCTAGATATAGTTCTTCATGTTAGCAATAAGTTCATTTTTTCCAATTGGTACTTGTCGAATGATCTTCAGCCTACTCTAGCTTCAATGTTTATTCTTATTACCACCACTATAAATAAATATGATAAAATAAAGAATGCAAAACCTTGCATTGGAAGAGGAATTTTTCCATTAGTATTCTGTAATTTACGTGTGCTTTTAGCTTAGGATGCTTGTGGTAATTTACTGGTTATAATTTTGTCATGAAAATTCATGGAGTGTTGGGACTAACAAAGAATTGCCTACGTGGCCATGCTTCCCTCACTTCTTTCAATGTGACCGTTACCTAACATTTTTTTTATTTAATCTTTAACAGACAACTGCCACCTCATAACCTAACTCAACTATTCTTTCCATTTCTACTCCTTTATTTATTCTTTTAATTATGAACATCCCGGTTGTTTATTTTACATTTTAAATAAAAAAAAGTAGCTGACCCAATTCTCATACGGGGTAAGTGGAGGTATGTTAGTAGGCTGTCCCTCAACGCTAGGTTAGAGCAACTTCCGTGGAAGACCTCCGGTAATTATGAATTACCCACCGTGGGATTCGATCCCACGACCACAAGGTTAATAATCTTGCGCTCTTAACATTTTAAATAAACATTAATTTTATTAAATCGTATATATTATGAGAACTATAAAATCTTTTTATTAGATATTTAATATTATTTTTAAAGGAGATAAGCAATAATTAAAATAAAATAATGCATATTAATTGATTTAAAAATTTGATGATGTACGGAAGAGTGATTTTTTATCTGCATATAGTGTATGTCTGTTATCAATAACTAAGAAATATTATGAATATACTATATTATAATAACTTTAGATTATTTAAAAATTTATTATATGTCAGAGTTATAATCTTATTAACTTCGAGGCCCTATTTTGAATGATGTCGAGAATGATGAGATTTAAAATCATTGGGTTTTTTTTTCAGAACAATTATGAACCATCACTTTCATTTACTCGATTAACGTGGTGAATTTTTTAATAAAAATATATATAATTCAGGATAAACATGTCATTGTCTTAATTATTGTTTTTATTCTGTTTTGGTCATCAAACTATTGTATTTTTCAAAATTATATCTAATGTTTAGTTTAGGTTTCATTTCAATTTACAATCGTTAATTTTTTAACGTCGAGTCCCCAATTGGTATAATTTTGGGGGAAATAGTTAGATGATCAAAACGAAACAAAAATAGTAGTTGGGATACTAAATGTGTAGTTTACCCCATATTTAACTTACCAGAGTGAGCTATGCTTTGCTTTGCTCAGATTAAAGCAAAATAAAATGGGAGTAACTTTGCAGAGCACATGACTTATACTTCAGCCTAGGCATGCATGAAGTGAGTAAATATTAATCCTCGTTGATCGGATGTTTAATTAATAAAAGTGGACGGCTCATAACATATAATTATAAATAAATGATAAATTCAGAAGTATGAGGTGTTGGGGGTGCAAAGGTTAGATAAGATCAACCCAGCATGCATTGAGTTAATTTAGGAGGAAAAAAGGAGGAACAAAACAAAGCTGGATTGTATTAAACTCAAAAACAACATCAATGATTTGATTGTATCCCACCTGCATTACATACAGACCCATGCAACCGCAACTCAATTTACACAAAAACACCTTGGGTAAATCACCGACTATCACTTTTGTTCCGTTTTGATCACACGATTATTATTATTTTGTTTAAAAATCATATTTAACATTACATTTTGATTTTATTTTAGTCAACTACATTTAAAAATTAACAATGATACTGATGTGTCACAAAAAGATAATAGCACATCCTCATTTATTTTTTTTTAAATACCACATCAGTAGTTATGCTAATTTTTTTAACGACGTATGATTAAAATGAAACTAAAATGTAATGTTGATTATAATTTTAAAATGAATAATAGTTTAGGTCACCCTAACATCTTTGATGTGATCCAAATGGAACTGTCGTTGCTAAAACATGTTTCGAGAGGAAAGCACTGTTCCATTAACAATGGGTGTCAAGCAAAATAGTTTGGTTGATTACCAAAGAAATCATAACTTCACATCGTTGATGTCTGTGAGCACACTTTCACGGATCCCATGTTGAAAATTACATTTTTAAAGAGATTAAAGTGGATGTTATTTACTATAATGTTAAATTAGATTACTACCCAGGGTTAAGATTTTGTCGTTCATCATTTTTTAATATATTAATTATTACCATAAATAAATGTAAGATTATTTTATTGATTATATAAATCATGCTTATGAAAGTGATGAATGCCAGAAAGTAATAAACTCGATGCCAAAAAATATAAAGAAATAAAATTCAATAGACAGACTCGGTATTTAGCAACAAACTGAATGTTGATATGTGTTTCTGCTCTGCAGCACATGGCTTGGTGGGACGGCGCTGATTGTGAATTTATATATTTTTATATATACCCAAATTTAAGATATTATGGATTGGTATGCACATTAGGATATTAATAATTCACAGTATCATGCACTCATTCACGTGGGGTGTACAGGCAGATTCCCTGCCTTTCTGCCGACTGCAACTAAAGCCAAAACCCAACACTGCAAGTGATGAAAGTTTTATATATAATTGGTTAAAGATGGATATTGAAGAATAGAAAGGTAATCTTCAGTGAAACATAACATGTAAACTTCGTCTTATGGTTTTCAAGTGCAATAGATGTTTCCCCATCAAGAAAACATTCTACAAATAGAGATGCCAATAATGCAAGCCTACCCCTACGCATGTGGCTTAATGTTTTCTTGTTCATTAAACTCTTAATTTAAAAACCAAAAAATCGAAATTCAAGAATTGGGTTTAATTTACCCTAGTTAGTGCAATGGTCAGGGAACACGCGACAATGGTTTACCCCCGTGACTGCATGACAATGGTTTGCTCTAAAGACAGACACTAGCATTGCATTTTTACAGCGCATAAACATACTTCATGATATAGATAGGTAGTATAACCAAAACCAGAGCATTGAGGCTAAGAACTAACGTAAGTATTGCTCTAAAGACTGACATTACTGTTCTTACACCACATGGACAGATTGTATAACCAAAAAGCAGAGCATTAAGACTAAGAAATAACATAAGTATTGCTCCAAAGACTGACATTAATCTTTTGTTTGTACATCACGTCGACATATCTCAGGCATCTGTAAATTTGTAATAATCGTCAGTGGTTGTGTAAACAAGGCCCTCAGATGCAAGAAAGTCTAATGTTTTCCTGCCAAACCACAAAATACAGAGTTTGCTTATTGCTTACAATTACAGTTAAATTAGTGTCTGCATAATTCAAAGATCGGTGGAAGAGAAGTACCTGATTTTATCCACCGAAACATTTAGTTCTCGAGCTACGACATAAGAGCATACCCCCATCTCAGATGAACTGAAAACATAACTGAAACTCAACATTCTAGTCTGATAGGCAAGACCAAATGTTTATGACACCATTTCAAAGTAACATAAAATAATTTTTTTTTTAAAAAAGAGTGATGATATCTCCTTGGAACTACTTTACCCCAATAATACTGATAAAATGAAAGCACCCAAAAGTGCACATAGTCAAATACAATCCAACTTCTGAGCAAAAAAAAAAGAGAAGTTGAAATTTCCATGCTTTAAAATCTCACCATGATTGGTGAGGATTCTTACTGTTCATAACATTATAATTAAAACCGAAGCAAAACAAGGCCATGGGTTGCAATTATCAAAACTATCAAAACAGGTAACATTTGAATGGAAAACTATATATTTATTTCATAAATAAGTTGTTCATTTCAATCTAATCACAGTTAATACAGGAAACTGTACTATATTAGTCTTCACTGCCAATTTTATTTGCTTGTCAATTGTTAGAATCTCTACCAGGACCAGAGAAGAAAATTTCTGATGTTACGGATACATGCAATCGAAGAACTAAGAAAGGGTTGCAATGTTTGGAAAGCATAGAACAAAGAAGTGTAAGGAAGCGAACAATCTCTTTTTATTGAATCCTGTTGAAGGCAGGCAAGAGGTAGGTGAGACTTAGCTAAACTATTTAAGCTAACATCAATTCCTCAGAGACTAAAATCTATGATACATGCCTATCAAAAGCATTTTAGATACATGCATAATGTTTGTTACACATGTTAACTCGCCAACTTACCAACCATGACTAAAAGTGTAAAGACCTGAAGTCCTGAACATAACTTTCTCAAAGAATTTATCGGGTACCATCATCTCATAGGACTAGGAGTCATTTGTTCTATCAAGATATGCCGTAGGTTATACTTGCACATAAGATAATTGATTTAACTATCACATTTTGACAAACAAACATGTAACAGGAATCCGTTCAAATCTGCAAATTCTAGGAGAATAGAAGTTCAGTTTAACATGATTTATAATTCAGCTTGAACTAGTAAAAGGAAGGCAACCATTTAAATTCAACCAAATCAATCAGGCTCGTCAAAATATCATACACAACTCACAGGCATGCTGGTCGACGCAAGTATTGTAAGATCATTGAACTAATACCACGGATCTGTTCATCATTGTTATAATGGCCAGGAAAAGAGGGGAGAAAGATGAGATCAGGATCATGTAAATCAAAAAACTTAGAAAGGCACTCTGCAATTCAGTTCATTCACCTGGTTTGTCAGGTTAGCTTGGTAGCTGTAGCCCTTTCCTGGATCACCAAAATTTGAATTTGCCACCGGAGGCTGAGCAGTCATGCCACCAACCAAATTTTTCATCCGAGGCTGAGAGTTCATGCAACCCTACATACAAAGTTGAGATAAAACAAATAGTTCCCAACAATAAATACACATTTACATTAAAATAAGCTGGAAAGCCATTTTGTATACTAGAGCATCGACTCTTAGTTTCTTACCCTCAACTTGGTGTTATACAAATGAACATATATACACTCGATGAAGTGGTTTGTAATTTCATTATAATCAGTAACAGGCCTGAAAACAACAGCAAAGTTCAAAGCTATTGAAATCACACTAGAAAAAGTAAAGGGCCAGAAAGAAAACAACAAAAGCTAGAACTTTACGTCCAACATCCAAAAATTTGACATGAAGATAAAATTTTAAAAGCAGAATCAAATAACAACTCAGATAGGAAGTTCCGTTCCTTTCGACATATGGAACTGTAAACTAAATTCCAGTAAGTCATTCCAAAGTGACCCTGATTTATTTGGTATAAATAGCACTATAGAAACTAACTGGAAGTTTTATCCTATTTTTCCATGGGTTTAACGCACAAATAAATAAATAAATAAAGCCCCTAAAAATGAAACATCGTGTTAGAATATAATTGAATATATAAGTAAAATTTTGAATTCATACCGAATTGAAAAGGTGTGCACAGTCCTTCTACTTTGAATGCTCTTTAACTGACCATAGACACGAACATACATTCCAACCCTGAGATGAACAAGACACTTCAATGTTATGATATACAAAAACCCTAATTGTATTTCCAAGTTACAGTATTCATGAAGAAACTTAGAAGTGCAATGAGAGATGATAACTTACGAGATAGCATCTACTTCAACTGAGTCTACATGCTCATGAACCCTAGAAAATATTAAAAAATAAAAGAAAAAATCAGAAGCATAGAGTCAAGTTATCAAACAACAATATTCTAAGTCTAAAAACACACAGAACAAGGAAAGGAAAGAGAGAAAATTAACCATTTGGTGCATTCAACCCATCCTGTGCCATCATCAACTCTAAAAGTACAATCTGAAACAGCATTGTCCATTTTGGATACCTTTCCAACTAACACAATCTAAAAAAAATCAAATTTCAAACCTATTTTGAAAAATTGTAATTGTTCATGCAAAAGATAAAACAATTGGATCAAAGCGTACATTGTTAACATCAACACCTTCAATGGAAATATCAGATGCTCCACCTCTAGAGAGATCCTTCAACTGCTTTACTGTAACTGGAAGCAAACACCGCGCATCACTGTTCTGTACATTTTAAAAATAATACGTTAATAATAATAAAACCTTGAAGTTCAAGAGAACTACACTGAACAAAGAACCAAATTTCACGTTTATACTTCAAGCAAGAGGGAAAAGTCCTATAATCAGTTTAGTTTGTGTTGAGAAAATTGTGCAATGTAACTTAGAAGTAAACATTTACTTAAGCGTCAAACCAAAAAAATAACCGAAAGAAGATGAGCAAAACAGAAAGAGGCAATTCCCTGAACACGCACAGGAACAATTACATAGAAATAATACGGACTACAGTTAACTCAAAAGACAATAAAATCTCGAGCAAGATAAGGAAATACAAAAGAAAATGATAAAACTATAGGGTAAAGAAGACAATACTTTGGAGGAAGAAAATGGGCGGTCAGGGGAGGTCTGAGTGGCCTGAGAAGGCATAAAACCGCCACCGTAAAAGACCGCGTTTCCACCAAACTCGTTTGCCTGCATCATGGCTTCTTCTAAAGTATATCAGATTTTTGGTGATTTTTTTCTTCTATCTTAACACACTTTTGGGGTTCGCTGTGTCCTACTTTCCCTCTCAACTTTAGGTTTTTATATATTTGAAAGTATATTTTGAAAAATTAGCTTACAAGAGAAAGAGGAACCGACTCGTTTTCGTACAAAATAACACAAAAAATAATTTTAACCGATTAATTTAAATTTTAATAATCGTTTTAAATTTATTTCTAATTTTTTATTCATATTAATTTTAAGTATTAATTTAAAATAAATCTTTGAATACATTTCCATTTTAATGTAGTTGAAATACCTGAATTTTGAATTGTTCAATTAAGGAAAATTCAATGGAATTTATACTTAATGTTATTATTATTTTTATTTTTATTCTGTCAATTTATTATATGAACATTCAAGAACTAAGATCATTTCAATGCTACTTCTCGTCATGCATAAACTAAACACATCCAATAATCCTAAACATAAATTCTCTCCAAACCCTTTTTATATTTGATGATGGGGACAATACCAGCCTTAGGATTTTTATATTTGCTGATAGGTACAACACTAGTCTTAGGTTGGTCGTCGGTGTCGATCTTCTTCTTTATAATTTTTTATATTCTAATTTTTAATAATTTTATATTATGACACATATTTCGTTGTTTTTATAATACGTTTTTTTAGAATATGATATTTTTTTATTATTTTATCGATCATTTGATCGTTCTTTTTTTTATTCTCAGGGTTAAATCTGTCATAGTCTCGAATAATTAAGATAATTCTTATTTATTTTATTATTGATATTCTTTACTTTGAATCTTCGAGTTAGATTTGAATACGCGATTTGCATTCGGTGATGGTTGTCTCACGATGTTCGACTCTGATTTACGATTGTCGGTAGTATTTTAATAGTTTATTTATATCCAATATCTAAAGTGATGTATTAATAAATAGGAGTACAAAAAACATAATATTTTATTTCATTAGATTTTTCAATATTTTTTTTATAAAAGTATATCATAACACATGTTTTAAGATAAAAAAAATATTTTATTACTTATCTCTTTCATATATCTATTGCTTAAAATAAAATAAAAAAATTACATTTATACAAAATTATTATTTTTTATTAATATAAAATAAGTATAAGGTAATATATGTATAAAGATAACTCTAAATCATTTGACATTGTATGTTCATAACTTTAGCATTTACAATGTTCGAATTTAAAACTTAAAAAAATAATAATATTTTTTTACAATCGAAATCGTTTAATTTCGTTATCATCATTTTTCGAATTATAATTTTAAGATTTTATTTTGAATCGAACTACCGCACCTCAAAAGCCTGCTAAGGATCAGGGGGAAAGATGGGATTGGGCCAGATCTACAACACGAGGGAGGCGGCTGTAGGATATCACTATTATTTTTGACGCAAAGGGCTCAAAATGAACCCATAAAAGCATCGGACGTAGAAAGTCACAAAGGTCTACTAGTCACGGTTTATTCCATCAAATTATGGGCCACGATTTGAACTGTTTAAATAGACATAATTAAATAATTTCAATGATTAAAAGAATTTAGTTATCTGTTAAGGTCTTAAATATGAATATCATATATGTAGAGTGTTAGTGTTTATTATCAAAATGGTTAAGAATCTTTAAATATATTACCTTTTCACCCTAAATTTATATAAAATAAATTATTTAAATATTATAATGAATTTGAATAAATTTAATAAATTTATAATTATTTATTTCATAATATTTATTTGTTAAAAATATACAGGTCACAGTTTAAATTATCTCATCTTAATTTCATACATATTTTATATGTATTTATTTTAATATTTTGAATCATAATTTAAATAATTTTATTTTATTTAGAATTGTACACATAAATATCTTTATTGCCAGTTATACAATTTTGATTTTTATTTTCAAAAATATTATTCTCTCTCTCACACACATATATATATATATTAAAAAATGACTGTAGAACAAACATCGCACGTCGATATACACTATTAATATAATATAAGACATTAAAATATATTAATAAATAAATCATCTTTATTAAAAAATTAAAGAATCTCTCCGTGATTATTCCATTATAAAAACAATTTTAATTCTATTAATAGAATTTTATTTTTTTACTTTTGATTAAATTTTTAAATAAAAATAAAATTAATTCACCTTTTTCTATTAAAAGCAATTGAGTATTTAATTTAATATATTAAATCAAATAAATTCTATAATAAAATTTAAATATTTTTTAAAGTATTATTACCCTTAATTGTTTTTTTTATTCAAAACGGTTAGATGACAATATTTTGAAGGGAAATTAAATAATAATATGTATATTTGAAATACAAACTGTAACGCTAGAGAATATTTGTAGAAGGCTAGTCATAGGCGTAGCCTGTGGTGGTGCAGTGATGGAGAGATGTAAGGATACCTTCTTACGCTTTCTTCAAATTTCTCGCATATCTCTTCTGCCATTCTGCTGCTCCCACTATTTTCCTGGTTTACGCCACAGCTTTTGTACGCTCCCTTCTGAAATGGATTAACATGGGCGGGGGCAACAAGGTTTGCTTATTGAGCGAGGTTTCTGCTGCTCCCACTTTACGCCACAGTTTTTGTACGCTCCCTTCTGAAATGGATTAACAGTAATAAAGAAGGGGGGGAACAAGGTTTGCTTATTGAGCGAGGTTTACTTGCAAAGAGAGATTTAAGCATAGGTTAAGCATGATGGTGCAGGTGAGCAGATTCATGCAAATGGGATACAAACCCCAAAACGATTCTTTTTTTGCTATGACTGTCAAATTTGGACATTTAGTTGAGCCTCTATCTTTATCACTCTTGTCACCTGTCCAAAACAAAGCATAAAAATAAACGAAAACCAAACGCGTATGCATTTCCAGTTTTTTAATTTGTTCCTTTAAGAGCTGGCTCAAGGTACTACACTGCACCTCATTACTGGTTTTTGACCTCACTGCTCCTTCTGTGAGTCTGTATCCCACTCTGCAGTGTGCAGGCAGGCCTCCAACTTTACGTACTCCGACTACTGTCTCGGTGACAGTAAATATATTTGAAATATTATTTATTTTTAGTTAACTTCCGTATTAACAAAAGAAGAATAACAACACTCTTATCCTACAAGATATTAAGGTTTTAGTCGTGAGCTGACGGATATGATGCAACTTTTTGTTAAAGAATCAATCCGTTGCAGAAATTGTGAGTGCACGCAAGGTGAAAGCACGTATACATGTTTTGATTAGCAGTGGATCTGATTGGATTATCAGTGGAGTTGTGTTCAGGATAATATCATTGTCAGCTACCTTAATTAAATTAATCACACAACTAAACAACAAAAGCAAAACTTGTAATAAGAAAAAGCTGGAAAAGGGTAGATAGGCCTCGCACGACGTTGCACACAGACTAAGAAGCCTGATTCTTTTTCTTTTTTTTTTTGCATTGCTCATTGCCCGTCATAACAAACCCTTAATTTCATATACGTATCAACATACATACATGTTGCATAATGGACATGTATGTGAAGATTGATGGCCATTTTTCTCTAGAGAAAATAATATAAAAGACGTAAGTAATAGTTTGATTATAATCGTATTAACGAAGATTACCTATCATGATTTACTAAATAATGATATTGGACACGATATTTTTCAACAATCATAGATTTTTGAGTTTTGTCGAGGAATCTAATGAATGATGTTTGGGCAATTAATGGCACTCAACAGGGGGAAACCCCTTTAATTTCTTTTTAACAATGAAAATTGGATTTTATTAGTAAAAAAAATAATTAAAATTACAACCCATCAAAGCATAGAGATAAAAATAGAAATTGTAACGGTAACAAATTCATATAAAAAATTAAAATATTAAACTTAAATATAAAAAATAAAATATTATTTAATTCCCTTACGAATGAGGACAAACATCAAAATAATTTAGTAACTTTCATAAAAACTCATTATCACTGTCGAGTAAGACACTTTGCGATATGATAAAAGAATGGTAAGAGAACCAAACTATATGATAGGTTGTTTCACTACACAATTATGATTATATAATCAAATAACCTTTTACCAAATAGGGACATGCCTATACATAGCCATCAACAAATCAATCGGAAAATAAACGTCGTGAAAGTCTTTGTGTAAGCACCAAAGTGGCCGTAAAGATATGCAAAAAATGTACAAAAAAAATGAAAATGAACTTGACACTATAACAAAGAAAGCGAGTGTCGTAAGAATAAAAAAAATCATCTCTCAATAACAAAGATTATTATTCAAAGTTTAAAAAAATTAAAGAAAAAAATATAAAAATAAAGGATATAATATGAAAAAAAAAAGATAATTAATAATCACTAATGACCAATAACTAAAATTAAGATTAATACCGTCAATGATTAAATCAAAATAAAAGAACAAGAACAAGAACAAGACGATAAAAAATATTTACAAAATTAGGTTAAAAATATTAAAAGAAAATCCAGATAAAACTCCACCCACTATAAAGATGCGCAGATAGCCCCTTAAAAGTTTAGAAGCAAAAACATTTAACATGATAATTTAATAGTATAACATGTTTGACATGTAGTCCATAAGGTAAGTGGATCCCATTCTGGAATATTGATTAAGTTATTGTTTGTTAAAGAGCCAGCTTAGACAAATATGTACATTACAAGTCATAATTAAAAAAATATTTATTTATAGAGATATGATTAGTAAACATAACAGTATAGATAAGAATCATATGTTTAAATTATTGAATATTATTTTAGCATGTATTATTTAATTTAAAGAAAAGAAAACAGGGAATTAAAAGTCATAATATTTCATTATTGTCAGTGGTTAGCAGTTGATGAGTTTATTGGATTTAGGAACATCCTGGAAAATCACATGCGCATATCTCAAGCACCTATTAATCTAGAGAGTAACGTGGGCATTAGGAGGCGGAGGGGGTATGTTTTTTTTCCCACTCAACCGGATATCTACTTCCAAGCAAGTGAATCATATTTAGCCTTCGTCTTCAAACCATCATCTCTGTCTCATTTCACAGTCCCCAGTGCTCCGCGGCAGCAACAGCAAATTGGTTCAAATCCTTGATAATAGAAGTGTGTAGGTACCCAACATAAATGCTGTAAGTCACTCAAAAGCCCCAAATCAGAGAGATATAACTCCAAAACTCCTTTTTTGTTTTTTCCCTCTCCACCTTGCTGCTTTCCTTGTACTTATATCCCGCCTCTCTCCTAAGCCAGCCATCTCAAATCCCTTTTTTCTTTTGCTTTATTCCCTCTTCTCCATCTCCACCAGTTCAGTTTCCAGTTTGCATCGTCCTTTTTTTACTCTATAAATTAAGCGATCACCCTTTTCTCCCCTCTTCATCTCTATTGCCTACTACAATGAAAGAGTACTGGACTTCATTTGCTTCATTACTAGGGGTCTTGGCCTTCTGCCAAAGCCTCCTCCAGGTCATTTTCCCCCCCGAACTTCGCTTTGCCTGTCTCAAATTCTTCAACCGTGTCTTCAATCTATTCTCTTCCTATTGCTACTTTGACATCACGGAGATCGACGGCGTTAACACCAACGAGCTCTATAACGCCGTCCAACTCTATCTGAGTTCCTCTGTTTCTATTAACGGTAGCCGCTTGAGTCTCACTCGGGCTCTCAATTCTAGCGCCATTACATTCGGCCTCTCCAACAATGACTGCATCGTTGATACATTCGATGGCGTCAGTGTGGTTTGGGAACACGTTGTGACTCAAAGGCAAGCCCAAACCTTCTCCTGGCGACCATTGCCAGAGGAGAAAAGAGGCTTCACTCTGCGTATAAGGAAGAGAGACAAGTCCTTGATTCTCGATTCCTACCTGGATTACATAATGGAAAAGGCTAATGAAATCCGTAGGAAGAATCAAGACAGGCTCCTATACACCAATTCTCGAGGTGGGTCTTTGGATTCCAGGGGACATCCTTGGGAGTCGGTTCCATTTAAGCATCCAAGCACCTTTGACACACTGGCTATGGATCCCGTGAAGAAGCAACAGATCATGGACGATCTCAAGGATTTCACCAATGGCCAATCATTTTATCAGAAGACCGGCAGAGCCTGGAAAAGAGGTTACTTGCTGTATGGTCCTCCAGGGACAGGGAAATCCAGCATGATTGCAGCCATGGCTAATTACTTAAGTTATGATATTTATGACCTTGAATTGACCGAGGTCCATAACAACTCTGAGCTGAGGAAGCTGTTGATGAAAACGAGTTCCAAGTCGATTATCGTGATTGAAGATATTGATTGTTCAATAAATTTGACTAACAGGAAGAAGAATAACAACAATACGGGGACCAGGAATTATTATGAACCTGAAATGAGAAGCGGGTCGGGTTCCGGTGAAGATGGAGGTAATTCCATCACTCTCTCGGGGCTGCTGAATTTCACCGATGGGTTATGGTCTTGTTGTGGGAGTGAAAGGATTTTTGTGTTTACAACGAACCACATTGAGAAGCTTGACCCTGCATTGCTCCGATGTGGGAGGATGGATATGCATATTTTCATGAGCTATTGCTCGTACGATGCATTGATGATACTGTTGAAGAATTATCTGGGATACGATGAAAGTGATTTGGATGCTGATGTATTGAAGGAACTTGGTGAAGTAGTCGACAAGGCAGATATGACCCCAGCTGATATTAGCGAAGTGTTGATCAAGAACAGGCGTTCCAAGAAAAGAGCCGTCACTGAGTTGCTGGAGGCATTGAAGACAAGGGCAGAGAATAATCTGAAAAGTGGGAATCTGATGGAGAAAATTTCAAATGATATTATGGAAGATGAAGAGCAGGAGAAAAGGGCATTGGAAAGTCCTCCAAACGAAGGATCTGAATTTGAAGAACCTTGCAAGAAACAAGAGGATGAAGAGAAGATGAAGTGATAGTGCAAACCAAAAACAGAATTGAAGGTTTCTCTTTTAGTTTTTCTCCTTTTAATTATTCAGAAAGATTGAAGGTGTAAGAAAGCAGATTGGTGTTTCAAGTTTGGACAAACCAAAGATCTTTCAAATTTTGTTGGTGAGACATGAAGCAATATGGTGAACTATTGGGATGAGGAGAAAAAACAAAGGGTTAGGAAAAATGATTGGCATCCATCTATCTTATTTCTTGTTTAACAATGAATCTAGCTTATATTATTTATGTGATGCCAAGATAAGATTATTAGCATGTATCATGTATGTGGGTGTGGTTGGCCATGTGAGGAGTTTCTTTTTCTGTTACTCCATAGTATATTGTGTCGCACATGCTTCCCTTGCAAAATCCTCCTTGGGAAAGGAGGGGTTTACAAATAATGAAGCACATGGCACATGGGCACACTTAAATCACTCGTAATCATGTTGTAATTAGCAATGACATGAAAGGCTTTGCTTTCTTCTACCAAGTTCTATTGCCTGACAAAAATGCACAAGATGACATTCAGTTAAACGGTCTTTTCCTTCTAAAATCAAACCAAACAATCTATTGTTTTGTTGAACACAATTAACTTTTCATTTTCCTGCTAAAAATTGGTTTGAACTTTGAGGTTATACAACTTGGTTTTGAAGTGGCTTTGAAGCTGACATGGTAAGTGGATAGGGATTAGAGGTCTTTTGTTTGTATTTGTAGGGTTAAATTGGGCAAAGCAAGTGGTGTAAAGTTGGAACAACCAGATATTTGTGTTGGGAAAAGGTAGGGATTTTAGTAACAAAAACAACAGGAGACTACAAATTTAAAAGAACAGTAGTTGACCACTTGACCTTTAGAGTTGTAAAGCTATATAGGCTGTGCCTTCTGGGATTAGATCTTAATCCAGCCGTTATGCAAACAAACATGGGAAAGGAAATGCTAAAATAAAACTTGTTAATGTCAGGTTGACAAGTGACAAAAATTAATTGCAATCCATAAATTCATCAAGGGAGTAACTTTTTAGGTTAAATATGTTACAATAAAAAATATTATATATAATATTTTCGGTTGTAACCGAAAACGATACAAATTTGTATAACTTTTTAAGTTGAACATGATAACAATATAAGTTGAAATCATCTTAAATTAATCTTAAATTAAGTTGTTGCACAACAAAACTCCCAACAATATATCAACAATGGTGATGAAGTGATCAGTTGCATTGCAAGAGTATTGAGAGTGTGTATGATTGTGGACAAAGAGGAAAAATGTGAAAGAGAAATGCTTCCTTTTTTTTAACAGAAGTTGACTGACGTTCACGTCTCTTTTGTTACAAAGGAAACAAACCGTACCAAATGAAATGATTTGCTTTCCCTTCTGCAACCACATCCTTCACTTCTTTTCGTTGGTCAAAACTTAATTATACATGCATAAAATAAGAAAATTGTGCAATTTTTTTTACTAACGGCTTAATGAACTGATTGATCCAAGTTTGAAGGAGCAATGGGCCAAGCCGGAGACATTGAAGGATTGATGCACACATTACCATCCCTTGAGAAAATTACAAACCACCTCTCGTTATTTTTCTCGGCCTTTTCTTTCTTGTTTTGCAGCGTCATTCTGAAAACGTGGCTATCTTAGACTTAAAAGTTAGACCAATCAATTCTTTGTGGATTAACACTGGCCATTGAAGTCCAAGATTGGGGGATGAAGGTAGAATTGTTGGATTTGATAATAATGGAATAAATGGTCGCCGTTCTTTGCAGCACATTGTCAAACCCGAATCCCATCTTTCCCTTTTACGATGCTGAAGCTGGAAAGGTCCATAATTCATGGACTTCCAATCAATGTAGAAGAATCCTTGGAGAATATATGCACTTTTAGTGCAACGGTTTACGTTAAAAGGTTGAAACTCACATATATTATACAAAGTTATTTTTCTTGGATACTCAATCCATTAATTCATGTTAGGTATGCTCGTTGTGGGATCAACTCTTTTAATTTAATTTTTTTCGTTCATAATTTTAATACTCAAAATCCTAATTTTACTTAAGAGACCTAATACTTCGTACGACTAAATCAATTTTCGAGCCACAAACGATTACAAAAATGGAGCACCAGATGCTAATGGCAGAATCAAATCAGTATTCCGAGAACAAAGTTCACTGAATTGATTGTTTAACATCTGGAAAGTTGAGAAAGACAACAATAGTGCCTACCATGGAATAATGAACTATACCCAGTAATTTAAACAAGCTTTCTAATGCCTTGATTCTTAAATTTGGACATTAAATAAGACTTTTGGAATATGTTGTGTTGGAATTCTTACCGTATATGCTTGAACACTTTATTGGTGGCATTCGGTCGTAAAAAACAGTGAATATAATCAATGAGTTTTGCTAATGAATATTGACCAATTAATGTTTAATCTATTCGACAAGTCTAATATTTGAATTACAAATCATTATTTAAGTTTATAAAATATGAAAATTACTACCAATTTGATAGATTCTACTTTGGTTTTTTTTCCAAACGGCTATTTTCTCCTTAATTTTGAAAAGAAATACTCTTGTGGAAAAAAATGAAGTCATTGCAAGAGAGCTAGCACAAAAACAAAATGAGTTGCCTTGCCTACCAGGCTGGGTTCAAATATAAAACAGAGGCCTGCTAATCTTGGTGATTAGGCTTTAATCAATTGGAATAGGGATCTGCCAAAGGTTTTTTTAATAATTTTTTTATTAGGCTAAATGTGATTATAAAGTAATATATGTTCTAAGAGTTTTTTTTAGTTAATATCGTTCTATATTCATGAAAAAATAATAATATCATAAAAAACATTAGACCATTATTTAAACATATTTGAATAGATTAGTTTTAATGTCAAAGGTATGAGTGTTTAATGTCAAATGATTGAGAGTTATCTCTAAACATATACTACCTTATAATTATCTCATATTATAAAAAAAATAGATTAATTTTTTATTTGAAGAGTTAAGCCCTTGCGCGTAGTTATGTGTATGATTCATTGAGACAATGGTAGTTGAGATGTGAGGTGGAAGGTGGCGTAGTAGATGACGAGGGTGCATTATTGCTTGGAAATCGAGAGCTGAGCTGAATATGATGTTCACGATTGAATTAATTAATAGATTGGGTAAACTATATGTTTAGTAATTAAACTATTATTTTTACTTTGTTTTTGATATCTAAACATTAATTAAAAAAACATATATAACGTCTAGTTTAAGTTTCAATTTGATACCCTGTCGTTAAAAAAATAACAAAACTACTGATATGTCATTTTATTTATTTTTCAATGATATTGTGAGATTATCTTATATTGACGCATCAACGTAACCGTTAAGTTTTTATCGGCGGAGGATCAAAATGGAACATACACTAAACGTTAGGTATGATTTTGAAAATAAAAAATTTTAATACAAAAACGGAATAAAAGTAACAGTTTAAGTACTAAATTTGTAGTTTACCCTAATGGGTTTTGGTCAAACAGGCTCGTGATGCTGACTGCTGTTTTTGTGGCGCATAGACCATAGCCATCCGTATCCACCCAGGCTCAATGAACTGTCGTCAATTTTATTTAATTATATTAATAATACGCATGGAGCATGACTAATGGCTTGCGTGTGTAGTTTTTTACTCAATTACTGCTTTGGCCACTTTCGAATTTGCGCCTGAATGGTTTGGAAAGGCTTTTATATTGGGATACGATTTGGTACCAACTATTTTGATTTTGTGTCACATGCCATGTCTTTCCCCCTAAACTTTAATATAATCGATCGTATAAACTTATTTTAATACGATGGCCTACCTCTACTTATTCCCTTGTGCACCTACAGCCACCACAAAAGTACACGCCGCTTGCAATATAAGTAATCTCAAGCTGTATATATGTGAGATGACTATCTAGCTCAGTTGGTAGAGTACAAGGTTCTTAATCCTGAGGTCATGGGATCAAGTCCCACGGAGGATATTTCATAATTCGGAAGTCTTCTATGGAAGCTGCTCTCAACCTGGTGTTGGTGGCAACCTACTATCTTACTTCCCCCTTATCCCATTACATATGGGAACAAAGGACAGCCATTTTTTTTTCAAGCTGTATATATGTGATATCCTTCGACCCACCGCAACTTTATTTCAACGTTTTTCTAATAATTATTTGAAAATTTTTATTAAATAATTTCAATACTAATTTAGCAATAAAATTATTTCGAAGAGAAAATGTTTAATTTACATCTTAAACGTATATTTAAACCTAACTAAAATAATTTAATATATTAGTGATTTTATAAATTTTAAAAATATTAAACATTTAACAAATAACTGCAAATCAATAAACATAGTTTAACTCAATATTTTTTTATAAATTTTAACTAAATTTAATTTGTTGAATCGAAAATAGTATACTTTGTCGGATGAGTCTAGAGCGTACATCGCAAATCAAAACACATTACTAATGTGACATACCGATGTTTATCATTAACTAAATTGCCCTTATTAAATAAATATGAAAAAAATATAATGACATATCCGTAATTAATCATTTATTATCGTTTGGTTTAAATTTTATTAGGAATATAATTAAATTATCTTTGATTAAAAAATTATAGTTATTAAGAAATTTTTATTTATTTAAGATTAAAACACTTAATTTATATAAATTTACATATTCATCTCAACATCGACCATTAAAATCAACCGTCAGTGATCTTATTCATGAAAAATCGTGTTATTCAACATATACAGCTGTCGGAGAACGATTCCAATATGAAATTAATCTTTCTCTTCACGAAACGTTGCCTAACTCGTTGTCACTTGTCACCCTACAATTAACTGTCAATTATCTTTGTCGTTGCCGTTTGCATTGCGCGTCACCGATCGTTTCCCCATGGCTTATTCAACAAATCCAATGCTTATTCAACAGAGGAAGACCCTTTGATTAAATCTTCATCTGTAAAAATATTCACTGCGTCCAAGAAGCCGACAATCATTTAACAGTTTTTCTCTTGCAATTCTTACGGGTTTAATTATTTATCTTTCTTGTTCTAGTTGTGCCTACAAAATCCAGAAGATTACATCTCATAGCAAGAAAACTTGGAGCAATGATTTGGTCTGACTACACCTAATAGCTTTAGAATATTTAATGAAGATGAAGTTTTTCAACATATATGATTGATTTTGTGTTTCTTTTATTTTTGTTGAATGCCTAAAGAAGAAACGGCGTTTATCTCGAAAAAATACATTTTTTTTATTTAATATTTGTGATCAGACGTCGTTCAGATTATATTTTTTTATATAACATTATTTGCAGAAAGGTGTGCTCCTGTAGCGTGCTTAACGTTGATTTGGCGTCACGTGGGATAAGTCACGCCCCGTGAGGCGCGCCTTATGCTGACATGGGATACACGTATAGTACGGCCCTGGGAAACGCCTTAGGCCACGTAGGGTATAGCGCGGGACAGGGGCTACGCCTTACCTGTGAATCTGACACAATTATATTCGACAACAATCTGTGCAGTTTCCATTTGACACAATGACTTCAAGCTCCAGGATGAGGCATTTGACTGCGAGTTTTTTTCGATCTCAATGTCGATATGTCTTCCAGTTCAAGGAGAATGCGTGCAAGTAGTAGGTTCTTCGACCTAAATGTAGAAAGCATGGATAAACCATCATCTCCACCATAAGAACCACTTCGTGAACCTGGTGTGGATGGTGTTGAGACTTGACTATTCATTCACCAAGAATCACCATAATTCAACTCCGATGATGATGATGATGATGTAGAAGAAGTTACAGGAAATGTGACACAAACTGACCCTCAAGCACACATGTATGAAGTTAATTATGGTGCAATGTACGGGTCAGAATTTGCAAATATGGCTCATCTCGGTGACTATGAATATTACTCATTAATAAATAATGGTGAGTTATCTTTAGACATGGAGTTTTCAAGCAAAGAAGAAGCGATGATGGCTATAAAAAATTACAATATTCGTAATTCTGTTCAATCCAGAGTCGACTGTTCCACGACAGAAAAATATGTATGTCACTGTGCCCGACGTGAAACGGATGCAATTGGATGGTTCGCGTATCGAAGAGGAAAAGGAAAAACAACAGATGAGAACTAACAATATACAACGGTCCTCACACATGTTGTGCTGGAGGGGTCAACCATGATTAACCCAACTTGGACTCTGAAATGATATGCCAAGCCATCATGCCCATGGTAAAAGCAAGGTCTCATATAGCTATCGATGTGTTGATTTCAACTATACAATCGCAGCATGAGTATACCGTATCCTACAATAAAGCTTGGTTGACAAAACAAAATGTCATTGTCAAACTTCATGGCGAATGAGATGCATCTTACAACGAACTTTCAAGTTGGTTTAGGCTGGTGCGGAGGTTGAATCTTGAGACAATTGTGGACTTCGAAACTTCCTATGTATACCATAATGATCGAGTTCTTCGCGATCGATGCAAATTCTACCGGATTTTTTGGACTTACCCATAGTGCGTTAATGCTGTCAAATACTTCAAGCCTGTGGTTCAGATCGACGAGACTTTTTTGTATGGAAAATACAAGCAAGTTTTATTATTGACAGTTGTCTAAGATGGCAATCGCAACACCCTACGTGGCAGATTCACAGGTAAGGCGTGACTCCTGCCCCGCGCTATACCCTACGTGGCCTAAGGCGCGCCCTAAGGGTCGCGCTATACATACGTGTATCCCATGTCAGCATAAGGCGCATCTCAAGGAGCGCGCCTTACCCACATAATGTCAAATCAGCATTAAGTGTGCAGCAAGGACACACTTTTCTGTAAAAGATATTAAATCAAAAAATATAATCTAAACGATAACTGATCAAAAATATTAAATGATCGCGATAAAAAACTTAATGACTTACAGATAATTTAGTACAAGCTGTTACCTTTGCTTTCGATTTTTCTGACAGTGATTGACCAACCTCTTGCTTTAGTTGTTTTTGGAATTTCCTGAGACTTACCTCTTCAACTAGAACTTTAATATCTACTTTTGATATTGGCTCTAGTTCTACATATCTGCGTTGAAAACAGGAAAAAAATGGCTGGTGCCTCACGACGCAAAGGACAGCGAGAGAGGTAATCAATAGTCTTTTATAGGGCGACAACGAGTTGGGCAACGTTCGGTGAAGAGAGAGATCAATTTACTCTTGGAATAGCTCTCCGACTGTGGTGTAGGTTGAAGAATACGATTTTTGGCGATAAATAGGGTCATTAGCCATTGGTTTTTTATTGTTGCCGCCGAGATGAATATACAAACTTCTATAGATTAAATATACAGTCTTCAACAAATAAAAATTCTTAACTAATTATATTTTAATAAAAAAATAATTTAATTTTATTTCCAATAAAATTTAAATAAAATAATAATAAATGATTTATTGTGAATAAGTCATTATATTTTTTATATTTATTTAATAAAGACAATTTAATTAGTGATATATATCGGTGTGTAAAATTAGTGATATGTTTTGGTGTACAACGTACACTCTCAAAATTCATTATTTGTCACGCTATATTTATATTTAAAATATTTAAATTTTATTATATTAATAACAAATATGACATATTTTTAAAAAATATTTTTATATAGTATATTTTTTAAGACTTGTATAATAAATTAGCTCTTGTTAAACTAGACAATGATAAAGTAAGTCTTTAAATAAAATAGTTGTTTTAATTGAATAGTTATTTAAAAATCTACGATCAAATAAATTTTTAAAATTAGAAAGACATTATAATTGAGTTATTATTTAAAAAAATTATAATTAAATTTTAAGAAGTTGGACCTACTTGAATAAAAGGTTAAACATGGCCTATGAGGATGTCCCAAAATGCACTGGTTGTAGCTGTAGAAAATGGCGGTCCAACTCAGCAGTCGCCATTTTGTCCCTTTTGTCATTTTCCCTCCACACTTGCACAACCAACTTCACTATTTATCTTCTTTTTTCCTCCTTCATCACCTGCTTCTAATCATTTAAAATTCCATGAAACCAACCATTACAATTTAAACACGTAAGTTATTGCTGTTTGCAGGTGTTGACGTGGGATGCTATGATTGGTTACAATAAAATAAAAAGTTCGGTAATGAAAATACAGCAGATAGAACATCTGGTTGTTGTACCTTAACACGGAATTAGAGAAGGTGGAAATTGCAAAAAGGGTGAAAGAGAGAAGAAAGGAAAGACGAAGAGAAGAGAATTATAGAAATCTCTTCAGCCTTGTCTCTCTCTTTTGCTTTTCTTCTCTATTTCCTTCTCTGCTTCATCTTAGCAGCTAGCAAAGAAGAGAGGGGTGAGCGGAACAAAAAGAGAGTAAAAAGAAAACCCACGCTTTTGCAAATCTCTTATTTCATTATTATATTTTTGTTCCAAGCTTTTCAAGGGTGAAGAAGATGATGGTTGTTAACAGTTTTGATTTATGGCAAAAGGACGCCTTCTTTTCTGCAGCAGAAGAGGTTCAAGAATCCGCTGATGTGTATGTTCTGTTTTTCCTTCCGTTGCTTTGTTTTTTTTCTCGGTTTTAGCTTATTTTTTCTCTAGAAAGATAAATGGGGTTTTTGTCGGTGATGTGATTATTTTCTCTTGGTTTGCTTGAAATGGCTGTGCTTTTTTCATGTCGTACATGCTTATTTTCCTTCACTTAAAGAGAAAATTGTTTGACCACTTGCAGCCTCTTCTAATCCTGATGAAGTAGAAAATAAGAAGACAATGATTGTTGAAAAAAACTCATGATAAAAGGCTGAACTTTTCCTTTCGGTTTAATTCTCTACTTATAAACAATAGCTAGGAAGTTTATATGCGTGTGCTCTGCAAAATCTAAAGAAGATTTTGAATGCTTAATGTTAGTAATCAACCACATAATAGCGTTTATAACAAGTTTCTGCTTCGAACATTATTGAACATGGATTTATATAAGAAGCTTCAGCTTCAAGTATGTTCTTGGTTTCACCTTTTCCAGAATGGAATCAGCATATAGGATGTGGACCAAAGAGAGGAGAAATGGGCAAAATGCTTCAGATTGGGCTGAACTTTGTCGAGAGTTGCAAACTGCGTTGGGTACTGCTAAATGGCAGGTATGCTACTTTTCCTTCTTTCCTTTTTCTTTAAATTAAAAAAAGTTAGGACATTTGTATTTGCTAGATATCATTACTTTTGATCCATTTTGTGGAAGCTTGAGGAATTGGACTTTTATTGTAGTTTTTGAATTTAGTATCTTGTAATAGAAAAGCTTACCCCAGGTTGTTCAATTGCATATTTACTGTTGTTGTAGACTCAAAGCGCAGACATTTTTGCATCCTTAACTCGAAACAAATATTGAAACTGACATTAAGCATTCTCATACTTTTGCCAACCTTTACGTGAATGTTCGTGTCGACCATGGTACACATTAATTGTATTTTATTTTTCTGTTGTCTGTTTACCCTGCCATCTGCTAATTTAATAGTTGCTCGGTGTTAAACTGTGGATGTATTCAGTTGGAAGAGTTCGAGAGAGCTATAAGATTGAGCCATGGACATCATTGTGATGATAGTAGAGCATCTAGGCACAGACAATTTATTGCTGCCATTGAGAGTCAGATTCACCGTGTAGAAGCTGCATTAAAAGAAGCTTTGATTGAGGAGGGAAAGCAGCCCCTTAGTTGGGTAGATTTGGATAGAGAGGAACGTGATGATTTGGCCATGTTCCTTTCTGGAGCCTCTCCAAGCTTGCAACCATCCAAGACAAACACTCTTTTGCTGAAGGAAAAGGACACATATCATAATGTCAATGCTTCTTGCGATGGAAATATGCCTGAAATCAAATTTTCTAATGATTTTGGCAAAGATGTTGAGTGTGTAATTGATGTAGATGATGGAGAAAGTTCTGGAAAGACAGATGACGTTAGTTATGTACATGATAGAACAAATAGTACACAAAGAACTTGGAGCTCTCCAAATTTTGGTTCGTTGAAAATTGTAATTGCCGATGAATATGAAGGTAGAACTCAAATCAGGTCAGGCATGGAGGCAACTCCTAAGGAAAAAGGATCGAAGCCTTTCTTCCTTAAGCGAAGGTGTGGAGAACTTCCACAGGTGAAGGGTGCAGTTAATTTATTCAATCTGGTAAGAATCAGGAGAGGAGCATTGTATACTTTGTTTCTTCTTTGTTCTGATTTTATGCTTTGCTACATTTATTTAATAATCAACATATTGAGTATGAATTTTTGCTAAGTTCTCATGGAACATAATAAATTCAATGTATTGCAGTGCTTTGGCTGTGTTGGTGCATTACAGAGACAATTACAGAGTCCAGTGCACTTGCAGTTTAGTTGTTCACTGCAACTCACTCTCATTTTATTGGTAGCCATTTTTCTAATTGGTGAGTGCTTTCCCTACTCGAATTTAGGACTTTGCACACTTGAAACAATATGCTTTAATACGTTTATAAATCTAATGTCTATGACCAATCATTCGAGTGTTTTCCTGATAGATTTTTTCTTGGTTAAAAACATGTGAACCGACATTGCAATTGGATGAAGATAACAAATATTCTATGACATCCATGTTTTTTTTTGTTTCTTCTCTGTTCTTGTCTATTGGGCATTGTAAGCTTCTTTCTTTTCAATTTTGCCCTGCTGTGTATGGAAACTTTGAGTTGATCGATTGAAAGCTCGTTAATTATGAGCTAATAACTCGGATCACTTTCTGAAGCTGCCAATAATGATCTTTTCATTCTGAACACTTCCAGTTTAGTACTTGTTTGCAGAAAAAAAATGCATTCTAAACAGTAAACAACCTATGAAATCTCATGTTTGGTTTTAGTCGTAATATGGCATTTTAATACTAGTCCCGTTTTATATTTAATAATCATTGATATCGACTGGACGTCTGGACCTTGTTTTGGAATAGAAGTAGTTTATGCATGCGCCTTTAAATCTTCGTCTAATACTTGTAAATTTAGTGGCATCATAAATTTGTGAGTATTTATAATGTGATTACATTATTTCATGATTTTAAACTATGTGAAGAACCTTTATTATGTTTATTTTAATGCACTGCAGTGCATTTTGTACTGTATTCAAGTTGAGAGCAAGTGGCTGCTATGTGGTGTAGATCAAATAAAAGATAAACTTATCTCCTCAAGATGCATCAACTTATTTTCTTTGCATTTTGTGCAATGTAGTCAAAGGTACTGAACTTAACCCAGTATTTCTTTTAGGTGGCTCTGATGTGCCGTAATTCAGAACGAACAGCATTGATATTTTAATAAAAACTAACAGTGGCTCAATGTTGCTGGAATAAATGCATCTGTCAAACATACAATTTCCGACTTCCTTTTGAGGCTTGGAACTTTTTGGTATAACAGTTTAGACATTATTTATTTACTGTTTTGGTTCAGGTGTTGGATCTATCTCCTCAGGGCACGAGAATCCGTTCACAGGTAAAAGGTCATGATCTGTATGGGTGCCAGCTGAAAGATCTCGGAGCTAACTTAGACCGGAGTTGGATGTCGTTCTAGATTTCCTTGCCATACATTGTAAACGCATTGGTAGTCACATATGTGTGGGTGTGTGTATATATATATATATGTATTCTTGCAAGAGTATTTAGTAACATGGGCAGTCATGTTGCCATGTGAGCTAAGCTTCATTGCTCATCTACTTTATATAGATATTTCATCAAGAAGGGTTGTCGGTTTAGTATTACGAGGGACTTATCTACCTTCATAACAATTGCAGTTACTTGGAACTAATATTAGAAGGGTTGCTTCAGTTGTCATTACTTCAAATTTAGTGAATCATTTTATATGATGAATTGACCAACATTTATTCGAAATTTTTGGTGTTCTATTGCATTGGTGAATGAGGTTTGAATTGTTATTCCCAAACACTGCTGCCGATAGACAGGTCATATACGTATACATTCTAATTTATCACAGAAGCACCTATGGCCTAATGGACAAGGCGCTTTACTCGGACGATTCTGTAGGAAATCTGGCTGTGTGAATGGGCAATGTTCCTCACTGTTACTGCTTAGGGATGGACTGAAAGGTCGTGGGTGAGGTCAGCCGCCCCCCTATAAATTTAAATTTTATTTATTTTAGATATTTTTTTTTATATTTTCTACACATGATCTGTTTTCGTCATAAGTTAGTCCCTCTTAAAATTTCATAAGTTTGTCCCCTTAACATAAAATCTTGCGTTCATCACTGTACACTACAGATGATGGTTGGCTTGGGCGATGGGATCCTGTACTCACCTGAAATGCAAGAGTACATGTCCTTAAGGCTATACTGAAAACTGCAAGAGTACCGGAGAGAATTGAGCTTGGGTCTAAATGCAAGAGTACATGTGCGTAAGGCTATACTGAAAACTGCAAGAGTACTGGAGAGAATTGAGGTTGGGTCTAAGATGAAATGCAAGGTTCATAATCTAATACTTTACCTTATCAAAGAATGCACCAATTCTAATGTGGTCTTACGTTGTAAATCTGACCGGTAGAGCTGCAACCATGGAGCGTTTTGTTTGTGAATATCATTGCTAGCGCAGCTTTGGAGTGAAGCTCTTACCAGTCTGTTTAAATGTATCTGCAAGACTGCAACTATTAAGATTTTGTATATGTTAAGAATTAAGCTTTTGCAGCTAAACTCTGAACTTGTATATGTCAGAATCTAGCTTTCCCATGAAACTTGAATTGAGTTGATTTAACATCAACATTTTTCTGAAGTCTTCCCCTAAACGGATATATTGTTGTTGGTGAGAGGAAGAACACATCTGAGATGAAGTTGACATTGAATGATTTTATAGTTTTTTCGAGAGATTCTCGAAAATCTAATTCAAAGAACTGAATGGGGAAATTGATGTAAATCTTAGGGCCCGTTTGGATCAAGGTATTTATCATTTCCACCAGGAATATTTTTTTCCTGATTAATATACCCATGTTTGGATGGACTAGATTCCCTAATATCCCATTACCAACAATAAAGTTTTTGTGTTTATTCTTAGGAATGTTATTCCCGCATGTGTGTTAGGTATATTTTTATTCCCGTGCTTAAGGGCTAAAATACCCTTCTCTTCCCGTCTACGATATATTCTTCTCTCGTGAGATTGCCTCTGCAAAAAATTCGTCGTTTTCTTCATCTATACTCCTAGTAAGATTTCTTCTCCACTCCCTTTCATTTATTTTCCTCAACAATGAGAGAAACTTTATCTTGGGAAACAGAAGATGGAGTTTGGGTTCAGAAAAATAGGATTGGCTTAATAATCGAAGGATGGGGAATTGGGTAGGTTTTGAAATCGAGGGTTTTGATTTGGGGTAAAGAAAAATAAAACGGGAAAGAGGATATAGAGGAAGATTGGAGTAGGAAACACAAAATGCACGACATCGCTATATGGTAATGGTTGTATGATTACTCTTTATTTTCATTTGATTATTTCGTTTCTTGATGTACTATTTTCTATTTTTTTTTAAAATCGGAATCAGGTCAATGCTTCAAACTTCATTACATGTAATTTGTTTTACTTCTCTCTTTTTTTAAGATATAAATTTCACGTATAATTTGATCCTCTACGTTGCTTGATTTTCTTCATCTATAGTTGTGAGTTTTGCATGTTTTCATCCTTAATCGTGTCGAATGAATGAAATTACACATTATTGCAATCATATTTGTTTCAATTTGCTACTGTTTTGCTGGATTTCCCCCTATTTTAATCCTTCTTTTCAGAAGAGTTCTAATTGCTATTACTAGCTATGCTCTACTATGTTTTTTTCCTGATACTGGAATTGCACCCTAGAAACTAAAACTCATCATGAAAGAGTGTTTGTTTTCTTTGTTTTGATAAATGTTGGTTCTTTTTAATTAGTGGAAGGGAAATGTTGTGAATTTTGTGTATTGAAGCCGTTGGTCTTGGCTGTTAGAATGCGGTCGTGAATTAGGCTTTTCTCTATGAAAGACACATGGTTTTATTGTATGGTCAATTTGTCAGGGGTACTATTTATAAGATGTAAGTGAGTTTGAATTAGCGAAAGTATTCTCGTATTAATGAAAAGAAAAGAGTAAGGAAATTGATTATGCTTTCAAATGAAAAATGAAAAAGCATTTTAGATAGGGAGTTGGTGTTTATAGACTTGTTATCTGTGATCATCTTGTTAGATCATAATGTCTTCCTTTTTCAGTGGTTTAGCATAGTGAATGTATAATCAAAATTACTGGACTTTAATTATTCTCTTTGTATATGAGTAGCTGAATTGATTTAGGTGCTTGTTTGTTAGGGTTATTGTATTTGAAACTAATTTTAATCGGGTTCCTGCAATGTTATTATTTGCATTGCCAATCTATGTAATTTTTAATTGAATTTCTAACCTATATTAATGCTGCTGCTTTCTAAAGCCTTTTTTTAATTATTTTTAATTGGAGTACCATCTTGAAATAAAATGGTGTTGTGGTTTTCTTGGATAAGTAGTCATTGTTTGTGAGTTATGTTTTACTGTCATAGTGTGCTTGCTTCATGTGGAGGGGTAATAGATTTGTATTGATTGATTTTTCGGTATGTAAACATTTGAGGGGTACTTTAATAAATTTTATCAATTTTATCAATTAGTATATTCATTTAATATGTATCTATATTGAAGAATGACAAGTATGCTTTATTAAGTTGCATCGCGTAGTTGCACAAAAACTTAATCCCGTACCTCGGGTTGCTTATTCATTAATATAAACTGCAATTAATGTAGGAGGAGGGATTTTCATTTTTTTTACTTGCCAATATTTCCATGTAATATCATACAATGCAATTGTTAGTCTGCAGAATGATGCAAGCTCTAGTGGATAGACTTGTTCCTTTGCTACTTCAGCAACTAGTGGAAGACTACAAGAAGTCAGTTCAACTTCAAAAGCAGCTTATAAATTAGATTATTTGTTGATATTGGCAGGTAAACCTTTCCCCTTCCACCCATTAATTTATTTCCTTAGTGTTCTTCTAAGTTTAGTCCCATGATAATAAACGTGATGCAATGAAATATGTTAGTCTGCTATTTCTAGTAATAGCATTCACCTATCTTAATAAAGGTATTATTTTTATTAGATGTCGTATCCTTATTGATTACTGATACAGGCGAACTGACGAAGGCAGATAAGGAATAGAACATAGTTAGACCCAACGAGAAGCTTTTTCATACGGGCTTGGGTTTATGTATACCAACTCAATCAAATCTTTGAACTTCGTACTTGTTTATATAAGTTGTATTGTGATAGGAATGTTGTTTTTAGGAGTGTTTGGCCTCGCTACTGGTAGTTTGTAGTCTTTCGTGATTTGTATTCAATTCCTTGAATGAGTCAATTTGTTGTTGTGGATCAGAATTTTTGAGTCCATGAAGATGCTGAAAATTTGCATGTAGATAGGCACCAACACCAAGGATTCAGACATTTTGTAGATGAGGACGGAGGTACAATAATATTTACTCCGGCAGCCTTCATTAACTAATATTATTGGCAGCAAATTTATCTATCATTCAAGAGCCAACATAGTATGAATGTATTATATATACATAATCTTGTTTGTAGTATAAATTTGTACATGAACTTGCAGATATCTAACAGACATTCAATCCATTATTTGTTGGCTTTGTAGTTATAAAATAATTGTACAAACTCACATTATGCAGTTTCATGTTGTAATGTTAACTTATGATGTGCTTCACCTAACTCTCTTAACTTTTCTATAATATTTTATTCAATGTGTTACATTTCCACCCAGTATGTTTAACCTTCATATTTTATAATCTGTATTTTGTAAAATACTTTTTGAAATCTTTGTATAGTGTATACACAAATTCATTCCATTATGCATGCATGCCCTAGCATGTAAATAACATTCCAATTTGTATAATATTTATAGCATTCACTTCAAATAAATTTAAAGGTACCAATGAAAGGGAAATTTGAAAGTTATTTTGTGTGGAAAATATTACCTAAATCCCTAAATTGAACATGATATATTTTTATATAAATTATGTTGAAGTAAAATTTTAATATATATTTTTAAACAAATTATGTAAAATTTAATATTAATTAAAATAAAAATAATACATTATATATTTAAATAATAAAATAATATATTATCGATGAATTTTTATAAAAATAATTTTTATTTAAATATATTATTGATAAATTTTTATATAAATAATTTTTATTTAAATAATTAGAATTTCACTTGTTAACAAATATAGAATAAGGTCAATTTGGTAAATATACATTCCAGTAATCTTTTATTCATTCAACCAAACACTGTAATCTTACAGTACTGCCAAACAAACCAAACACAGTAATGTAATATTCCAGTAATGTGTTAGGTAATGTTACATTCCGGTAATCCTATTCTCAATGGTAATCTTATATTCCGTAAGCCAAACGCACCCTTAAGGTGAAATTTAGAATTCATCAATTACTATATAGAACAGATGTCATTGGTCGATAATATGACACATAACTTAATTGTTACAATCAATTAATTGAGCGACTTAATTATTACAATTGATTAATTGACTGACTGGATTCTAACTAAAATCTAATATTTTTAATGAATAAAATATTTCATGTTAAAATATATTTCATTATTTTTAAAATGAATTGTTTCAATTATAATTTTATTAATAATTAGGTGACTTGTGGAGTGATTTATCGTTTTCAGTAATATAAATGTTGATATTTTTATATAGATTTGTTTAAGAGTTGAACCTAATATTTGAAATTATTTAAATAAAAATATTATATTAGAAAATGAATTTGAATAAGAATATTAAGGTACTTATCTTTTATATAAACTATTATTTGAAAACTTCCGAAAAAACTATTAGTATTTGAAAATTTTATTTGAAAAAAGGCGCCATTTTCCGCAATCTTTCCCAAAGGGCAATTACCAAAATTTTGGGCAAACATGAAGCCGCAAAGCCTCCTTCAATTACCCTCCCAAAAGTGCACGACAGGCTGCCCAATCCTTGACCGCTTGCTCGGCGGCGGCATTCCTTGCGATTCGGTAACTGAGATCGTCGCAGAAAGCGGTTCCGGCAAGACCCAAATCTGCCTCCAACTGTCACTCCATGTCCAACTCCCTGTTTCCCATGGCGGTCTAGCTGCCTCCTCTCTCTATCTGCACACTGAGTTCCCCTTCCCCTTCCGTCGCCTTCACCAGCTATGTCTTTCATTTCGCTCCTCAAATGCCCACCATTTCCCCATTAATGACAACCCTTGCGATCGTATATTTGTGCAGAGTGTACACTCTGTTGATCACCTGCTCGAGATTATGTCTAAAACGGAGCCTTTCATTGAAAATTCGAAAACCCAAGTTCCAGTTCGTCTCATTGTGATTGATTCAATAGCTGCCTTGTTTAGGTCTGAGTTTGACAACACCCCGGTTGAGCTTAAGAGGAGATCATCCCTGTTCTTTAAAATATCTTCCAAGTTAAAGGCGCTTGCAAAGAGGTTTAATTTAGCAGTTTTGGTGACGAATCAGGTGGTTGATTTGATGGGACCTAATGAGGGGATAAATGGGTTGAGGATTGGGAATTTAGGATGTTTATATACGTCAGGTAGGCGGGTTTCTCCTGCATTGGGGTTGGCTTGGGCTAATTGTGTTAATTCAAGGTTATTCTTATCGAGGAATGAAGATGCTACTCGTGAAGAGAATGGAAAATTAAATGGGGAAAGCGGTGGTTTTGTGTTTAAGAAAACCAGGAGAAAACTCTATGTTGTTTACGCACCTCATTTGCCTGAATCATCTTGTGAGTTTGAGATCACTAGAGAAGGGCTTTTTGGAGTTGAAAGACAGCTGACTGGTTGATTTTTGTACAATAATAAATCATCTGGAGGCTGCTTTGTTTGAACTTGGAGCCTTTTTTATTTATGATTTGAGTTTAGAAGAGATAATCACCATGCTTTATTTGTGTTTTCACATTTCTTTTTCAGCGCAATTTATCCCTTTTTGTTTGTTTATCATAAGTGGTTCTAGAGTGATTTTCCAATGATGTTTTTGTTTCTCTTCAATTGTAAATTTGTAAAGAATGGCTATTGCTTTTATGTAACTCAGGCATATACGCACACTTTAGCTGGGGACATATTTCAATGATCTCCTCTATCAGACTTCATAATGTCTCTGATACTTTTATGTTTTAACATTCTAGCAATTGCTGGAGATTTTATGAGTTAGTTGTTCCTTCTCTTTATACGGTGTTAGCTGCTTTTTGATAGGGTACGCCTTATTGACTTGGTTTTATCCGTGCAGTAGAATTGTGCCATGTTGTCAAGAAGAGACATCAGTGTAACTTGTTTTAGTGTAGGTTGTAAAGAAGTGTTTTCTTTCCATCTCTATCAATGTCTGAAGTTGTAGAACTCCAATGCAAAATTTCAATCTCCATCAAGTCCGGAGACACAGCAAACTCCGATACAGAACAAGCTTCCAGAATCATAACTAAACCTCTAAGGTAAATTTCTTTACAACCTGCATACTGCAATTGGTTAAGTCAATGGAAAGGTGCTATTTTTTAGTTTGATCAGTTGATATCTCTAATCCTATTATTGATAGTATTCGGGATGACACTTTTTGTGTTGTATGTGGTATAACAATGTCAACTAATTAGTCCTATGAGCATTTTTTTTTCATTTTCGAAAATTTCTTTGAGCTGTATTTATGGAAAATTGGAAACATAGATATATAATCTTAAGGTTACAAAATGATTATTGGATAGCATGTAATGAATTTGTTATCATTCTATAACAGCTTATTCCTTTTTTTAAGACTAGCATGATGGTTTTAGAATATGCAGTAATCATATTATGCATCTATTGTAAGTGTTAAACAAATGCTAAAATACAAACTGATTCTTTTTCAATATGGACTCTGCCTTGCAGCCGAAAATCTTAAGTGAAGTTCCTTTAGCGTTGCTCTAGTTTTCACATTTTCTTGACCGTTTGGTGAAGTTGTGCTGTATATACTATCTGCTAGTCATTGAGTCGAGGATATTAACAATTAGCATTCGATATTGTGCATTGTGCTTTGTAACATCAATCTCTTTGTTCGGGTCTCTTGCACATGTTTCTTATGAAGGGAAACCTTACTGTGAACCTTTTGTTCATTTTTCTTTTTTTCTTTCTTTTCATTCTTATAAATAAACTTTTTTTTTTTTGCAAAAGGGAGCTATGTGCATTTTGCTTGTGCCGAATGATCTCCAATTTGATGTCGTTGTTTGTTGGTTTTAGTACCCACCTGGAGTAGAAATCAACAAAGACAACTGCAATAGTTAAACTGAAACAAAGTATATATCTATGAATACAGTCTTTGTAAGCTCAGTGCTAATGTAAAACCGAACATTACAATGGAGTCCATTATCTTTCTAAAATCTTTCGGATCCAACCAAATAATGTTGCCTACAGTTTGAAGATAACATTCCACTTGGTTCATCCTCTACCGCCACCACCATTTAGCCATTTAGGGTTCATATGACTGTCAGCAATGTTGCAATGGGGTCGCAATTCCATTACAACCTTGATTTTTGCACTTGGTCATAGAACTGCAGAATTATGCTGATTACGCGTGGCAGCCAGTTGTATAGCCCCCTAGAAAGTGGGTCCACTACAACCTTTATTTGTTTTAAGAAGCATTATCATAATTTAACTAATATATACATATCCATATATATTAGTGACATTTATTACATTTTGACTAATATATTTATGCCATGACATTGTATTTTGGTGGTGATTTTGTGTTTCAAGAGTGTTGTTATTGGCCTTCGAGTGTGTATTCATAATTTAATAGATCGATTTGAAACAACTATAAGCCCCTTGATTTTTTTGTCATACTCTTCTATTAGTTAATCCCTATATTATGAATAAATTATAAAATTTGATCAAGTTTATTTTTTTGAATTTTGATATATCGAGTCTAATCCGAAACGATTACGAGAAAATATGAATAAATTATAAGGATGTAAAACAATCAAACTAAAAAATAATAATCAAATTTATAACTTAAACATAATACAAAAATTATGGTATAATTTTACTTGATATATTTAATTATTACCGCTTGAATCAACATAAAAAATTTAAAACTAAAAATATATAACTAAAAATGATCATTTAGCTCAGTTGGTAGAGCACAAGGTTCTTAACCTTAAGGTCGTGGGATCGAGTCTCACGGAAAGCATTTCATAATTTGGAGGTCTCTCACGGAAGTTGGGGACATCTTACTATCCTAACTCCCCCTTACCCATTACGTATGAGAATAAGGGTTAGCTAATTTATATAACTAAAAATAACCAAATTTAGAAAATAAAATGCGACATGTCAATTTAGTACCTAAAACAATACATGCGGTTCGAGCGTTGACAGGGATATGAGCGTGCATAATTAATTGGTTTTAGATTGTTTGAATAAATAATGTATTGTATTTATCAATATGTATAAAAAAGTATTTGATCGCATTGGGTATAAAACATCCAAATGAAGAGGCCCTTCCTTTATATTTAAACGAAGGCCCAGTCGCAGATTGAAAATTTTTGAGCTCCATTGGTATGGGTATGGGTATGGGTATGGGTGGAAGGCATATGCCATAGAGATTACGCGGTCCCTATTCTATAAACTTTGCGTTGAGCGAAGACTAGTAAAGCAAACACGCACTCTCAAAACCGCAATTGATTTGCAATGGCAGATGTTTCAGTCAAAAGACCCATCATTACTCAAGTCATCTTCGACATGGACGGTCTCTTACTTGGTAATTCCACTCCCTGCATTCGCTCTTTTCTTTCCATATTATTTTTCTCTGACGAAGAGATCGCAGTCTGGTATAGGGGATGAGTTTTAGTTATCTGGATCTCAATCCCAGATGTTTTGGATGTCAGTTCTCATAGATGATTACATGGATGAACTGAGCTAAGCTTTTGGTTTAAATTAACTACAGGAAGTGAGGAACTAAATTTAACCAAGTTTTAGATTTTTCTGTCCGATCTGATATTTTGTTTCCATCTCATCCTTTTCAATTCCCGTGTAAAAAATGAATGAGGCCGTGTTATTATAATTATTATATAACATTTCATCTTATTGGAAGAGGCGTGGCCGAATATCAGGGCAGTTAAAGAAATGTGGTTCCTTCTACTCTGTAGTAGCTATTTAGGCTCAATACTTGATTACTGAAAATGTTTTAATCTTTATTCTGTCATGTACTGTGATTTATCCAAGTATTTTCCCCCCAAGCAAGGCACAAGAAACTGCTAATTTAGTCCAATGCATCAGATGCTAAACCATTACTTCTCTTTACTTTGACATTATGTCAGATTTGTGCAATCATTTCTCACAGTTAGGTTTTATGGTTTTGTTATACTTTTGATCTATGACTTGTCATTCATATGCAATCCCTTTCGTTTTATTTGATTATTATCTGTTTCACCTTATGTTCACTGTTTCTTAAGGTTTTGTGGGAGTTGCACTCACATCTACATATTGTACAATTAAATGTTTTGGTATAGAAAAACTTTTCTAGAACGAACTTAGCATCTGATCAAGTGTCTGCTACTGTCTTCTGCAGACACAGAGAAGTTCTACACTGAAGTCCAGGAAAAGATTCTTTCTAGATTTAATAAAACTTTTGATTGGTCTCTCAAGGCAAAAATGATGGGGATGAAAGCAATAGAAGCAGCTCGTGTCTTTGTTGAAGAGACTGGGATCAGTGATTCTCTTTCAGCCGAGGATTTCCTTGTAGAAAGAGAGTCAATGCTACAAAGTTTGTTTCCAACTAGTGAGCTCATGCCAGGTTTTATTTCCCCGAACATTTATCCATAAATTATCGATCAACAACTTTTCTATTTAACTTATTATTATTTGGAGGAGATAATAATTAATCCAAAGGCACATTTCCATTGGCCTTTTTAATTGTATTCTGAGAGACACATTATTTCCTTATCTTCAATGCAATGATTTTGCTCTAATGATTATGTAGCAGTCACGGTTATGTATCATAATTCAACTTTCGTATGAGTTAAAATTCCAATAGGCGATTCTTTTATTCACTTTAATTGATGTCAGGGCGATATTTCTTATCAAAGTAATTTAAAAATGGTTTGTTATTTTTTTCATGTAGAAACCATTTTTAATTTAAGGAAATTAGAAAAATATTTCTTAAATATTGTGTGTGTGTGTGTGTGTTTTTTTTTTTAATTTTCTCTCAAGTGAAATGAAAGTTTAAAAAAACTTATAAGAAACTGAATATGGGACCCTTGCACACAATTTTCATGTTAGTTATGGTTGTCTTAAACAGCTTAATTAAGCATCGCCATGATTTCTGATTCCTTTTCTAAAAAAAAGGACTTTTTGAGCCATAAAGCTATGTCCAAGGATTCACTTTTTGTTGTTGTTGTTGCCAAATTTACCAGACCATTTTTTATATAATTTATATAAAACTTTGAAATATAAATTATATGCTATAAAGGAGATTTAATCAATAGCTAGTAGCACATGGTGCAAAATGGAGGAAAGAAATTCTATTATTCTCACACAAAGATAACTTAGAATTTAGTTTTAAGGATTCTACTTGTGAGAATCAGTCATGTTTGAAGCCGCCATTCTACTTTTAGCAATGAAATTTTATTAATATTTGAAGTCTTGTAAAAGAAAAGTGATTTGATGATTGTTATTGTATGAAACTGTGCGCCAAAAGGGGAAGGTGTAGCAATAGGCTTAGTTTGTAGATTATTATTATTTTCTTTTTCTTATATTTTGCAACTGAATTAAGTAATAAATTGTTGTAAATTCCTATTCCAGGGGCTAGCCGTTTGATTGAAAATTTACATGCAAAAGGAGTACCAATTTGCTTGGCAACTGGGTAAGCAATTGTTATTTCCCTTCTTATTCCCTTTAATTTCTTTACCCAAAACTTAACATGGAGCTTATACACAAGTGTGAATGAACTTTGAGTTCCTTAATGAAATTGTTTAAACTATTGAAGTGCCATGCAAGCATCATTTACAAGATGTATTTTGCAGAAGCCACAGGCGGCACTTTGAGCTAAAAACACAAAGACATGGTGAGCTTTTTAAACTCATGCATCATATTGTTCTTGGTGATGATCCAGAAGTTAAAAAAGGGAAGCCAGCACCTGATGTATTCTTAGCTGCCGCTAGAAGGTTTGAGGTATGATATCAATCCATGTTCTCTTAATGTACTTGACAATGCTAACTTGTGGTTGGACATGCATAAAGATTATTTTCTTGGTGTTTTAGTTATATGAGAAGTAAAGCAAAGTAAGAAATAATCATATGAAAATGACTTTTGGTGAACATAGTACCCTTTGCTTGTTTGAATTTGATAGAACTAACACACACAGAGAAAGACAATTCGAGATCATTTGGAATTTAATATTCACCATTAATGAACATAAGTGTCATATTCAAAAACAACAAAGGGCTGCCTAGTGCATGCAGTTCATGAATTACAGAATCTAGGGACTGTCTGTTTTTTTAGCACTACCATGCTTTCCTAGGAGTTTATTTCTTTAGCTTGAACCTATGACAAATTGCAAATGGAGCTTATTTTCCTAGGCTGACCTCATTTCAGAAATTGATTGAAAAATCTTAATGTTCACAAGAATCACAACTTTTGAAGAAACTAAAATAGTGCTTAATAAAATGATATAAGTGGCAGTTTTTATTCTCTTACTTTATTCTATTGCTAGAGGTATTTTCCAGTTCCTTTCAAATTCGAGTTATCCCCAGTTTTCTCAATGCAAACATGCTGAATTGTCTTGTTTCAGTGGCGACCTTTCTATGTTGCCTTTGAAACGGTCCAAGATCAAGTTATATAAAAACTGATGGATAAATTGTGTATTAACAGGCTGTGCCTATAGATTCCAAGAAAATTCTTGTGTTTGAAGATGCACCTGCAGGAGCTCAAGCTGCCAAAAATGCTGGGATGTAAGTAAACTTGTTTTTTTTATTGATTAACTAATACAATTGATTACCGTAGATTTAATGCTCTAAGTTTTACTTTTTGTATTCTCAATTTGATTAGTTCTGTTATTTTTATGCTGTTTGGGTTAATTTCATATAAAATAACCTCTTTATTCTATAAGTCTCAAAATTCTTGATGGCCTTTGATAGTTGAACTTTTGGCCTACGGAATAGATGACAGGCCTTTGGCATGCTAGGATCAGGACTCCTTTTTTCCTTTTATGGTGGAGACGATGGCATTAAATGTTTGCTTAATTCCATTGGTTCTATAAAGCGGTAAAAGGAAGGGTTATCTGTTCTATCACAAAACTCAGTGATATCTATCTAAGTTCGGAATGATGCATGATGTGCTGATTAATTCCTTAATGGTTGATGTATGGCTTACTATTCTTGTAGCATATCAACAGGATCATGATACTAGTAAGGAGGCAGAACTGTTAATACCAAATGGAGCTTAAACTCGTGGCACGAAATTTCTCTTTAAAGAATGCATTGATAAGGTTCTATATAGCTTTGTCAGTTTTAGCAATACCGGGTATTTGATCTTTGGATCAAATTCCAGGGTTAAGATTCTATATTGGGGAGATTATCTGTACATTTCAACCTTTTGTAGATATTCTTTAGCTTTATAATACTAGTGGTTAATGAGTTGGGACATCATTGTAATGTTCCCCTGGTTTTAGAAATGCGACATACTTGTATATGTGATGTAGTTTTAGTTTGTATAGGAACATGTCAGTCATCTAACACCATTAGCCTTTTTTTGGCTTCTGATGAGGCTTGAAGTTCCTGTCATTGCTCTTGACAATGGGTTGATATGTTCGTCTGTTTGCAAAGCATTTAGTTCGTTTCTTTTGAGGTCAAGACATATCCCTAATTTAACTGATCCTTTAGCTTTTAGACTTCTATAGCTTGCTTAGCTTTCCATCGAATTCCCTCGTATTAATGTTTTTTTTTTCTGTGACACACTGTAGGAATGTGGTAATGGTTCCAGATCCAAGACTGGACAGCTCCCACCACGCTATAGCAGACCAAGTTCTGAGCTCCTTATTGGATTTCAACCCAAGTGAGTGGGGTTTGCCTGCCTTTGAAAATGCATAAACCTTAAACTCCAGCACCTAATTGAAAGGGGTTTGAACCCTAAACCGATCAGATTTCACACCTTGATCATTGTCTGGTTTAAGACATTATTTATATGCTTATGAGCTTACAACGCTTTAGACGTTAATCTCTGGACTATTACGAATTGTTTTCCTTCCATTTATGGTTTATAATAGAAAAGGGTTAACAAGCAAGTGTTTTGCTTTTCGGGAAAAGATGAGAACGTACTCCTTGCAAATGGAAGGTGCATGTCTTGCTCTATAATTTTAGATTTAAGACCCGTCACAACGGATTATATATATTTTCTCCAGATAAAATTAAAAGGAAATAATTATTATGTTGGAAATTTTATAATTTCACAAATAAAATATATAACATTTTTTATTTTTAAAATATCAATTAAAATATAATACAAATTTTGAATTCATTTATAAAGAAAAACTTCAAAAACTTTTAGAAATTTTAGTAAATAATTATTTATTATAGTTTTAGATCTAATTATTTGGTCAAATATAAAATGACGTGAAGAAAATTAAATTGAATTTGATTATTGTTAATCCGAAAGAATGACAAGCACAAACCTTGCCTGCCAAAGCGTTATGGGTGATGACAGTGACAATAAAAAACGTGAGGCAAACATGGGAAGAGGTGATCTACCATAAACGTGTTTCACTGCTCGTTCTTCACAACAACCGATCACACTTCAGGTTCAGGTCACGAGCTCATGGTTATTTCTCTATCATTTGTTATTTTTATTTATCTTTTGCTGTCAACTCTCTTACTGTTTCAATCAAAATATGATATTTTACTGATGTTAATTGTTTTCATTTGGATGTCATATTATCCTTTCATCATTAAATATCTTGTTATTTGAAGATTTATAAGTTTTACATAATCAATCAAAATATATATTTTGAAAATCTCACCATTTAAAAATATAAATAACAATATCCTATCAACCAGAGCCTTTTAATTTTACAAGATTAAGGACTGAACGTATACTTTTAATTAGTTATTGTTTTCTAGAACAATTTATCTATTAACTTTAAACCATTGATTAAATTAATATTACAAATTTATTAGATATCAATTCAGTTTTAAAAAATATTAAAATTATATTTTAAATTATAACATTATTATTTTTATGTTATGTCCAACTCGAGATATGGGTAAAATTTAACAGAACGTCTTTCTATTAATGCTAAGGGCGGTGGTGAATGAAACATTGAGTTGAGGATTACGATTCCAAACTTCAAAATTACCTACCAAATAACATTTAGGGTCATCAACACCACTTTGCTAGGTCATTTGAACCGACCTGCCGGATCTTTCCTTACGACACTCCAATACCACTACTATACTCCCGGTTACATTATGTCTTTTAGATAAAAATATTACATCGTACAAAATTTTTCAACACTTCAAAAAAGAATTACATCACTTCTTTAACTTTGATGCACAATAAATTGAATTCCCACCCACCCATTCAACCCCACATATGGTAATACCCTTCTCACCACTTTCTTCCCTCCAAACAATATGACTTTCTATAATGTTTTTTTTGGGGGCTATTTTCATAGTAATCATCACCATACATCACGTAGATACCTGCCGCTCATTTGCAGATTTTTCACCATGCTCTCGGCCTTTGAGCTGTCTAGTGATCCCTGCAATGAAATACGCAACAAAGTTGGTCCACCCACTTCGGAAAACAACAAACTCAATATCTTAATTCTTCCAATCAATATTAAAGAGGGAACCAACCACCAAGGATTGACAGAGGGAGGTGTTGATGCCGTCGCACCTCTGACAATATCAAATTCTCATATAGTTTTTAAGTATTTTCTATTGATGATCTAATTTCGCACCCCTAAATTTGTAATATAACTTGTTAAGTTCACACCCCTAACATAAAACCTTGCGTCTATCCACCCCATGAATGTGACATTTTTCTACTTGAGAAAGCAAAATATTCCGAGCTTTGGAATATAAAATAACGAAAGGGCAGGCTGGCACTCACATATTAGCAGTTATATGTATGTATAATCGCAGATAAATGTACAACAAACACACCTGCTCTTGCATAATAGTGTGTAGAGTTCGATGGACATCTCTGGCCATGCCCTTGGCATCACCACACACATATAGGTAACCTCCCTGTGAAATCATGTTCCAGATGTCTGAGGCCTGCAAAGAAGGGGACACGTGTTTCAGAGCATCAAATGAAAATAATGGTAGGAGAACTGAACCGTACAACTAGTCAAAATAAACAATTTCGGCAAGCTTCTAACCCACAATTTGTGGTATGTGAATATGTCCAGTACCTTCTCCATCATTTTATGTTGCACATATTCCTTGGTAGGTCCCTCACGTGAAAAGGCAACCACAAGCTCAGAAAGTGCACTACTGTTCACAAAGTTGTTGAGTTCATCTTCATAAATGTAATCCTGAAAGCAAATGTTGAATTAAACTTCCTAGTTTAGACTACAAATGTATCCCTAAACCCACTGGAGATATAAAACTAATCATAGGACTGGAAACTGCTTGACTTACCATTTGCCGGTTTCTACAACCAAAGAACAATACGGATGGACCCAGTTCTGCGCCAGCTTCTTTTAGGGCAAGTCTTTCCTGAAAAAGAAAAAAAGAAGAGATAATTAGTTTATAAAATTTGCCCAAACATGATGAACCTTGAAAATATGACAAAACCTACCTGAAGGAATCCCCTGAAAGGAGCCAATCCAGTACCAGGGCCAATCATAATAATGGGCACCTTAGTATCTGAAGGAAGTTTAAAGTTTGATTGCCTGACAAAAATGGGTGCCCAGCTGCAGTCCTGGATTTTCTCCAAGGGCACAGCATTCTGTATTTTAAGGAAAGAAATTTTGCATTATTAGACTAGAGAAAATAACGGATGCAAATGGGGTATCAATCAGGAAGCAGATATCATTTTTCTCCTGAAAATAACTTAAAACTTTGAGCCTTCCTGACTGTGCATAAATGAGTACCAGAAATATTAGGAGTACCTTCATCCAAGTTGAACAAACTCCTTGGTGAATACGACCTGTTGGCGTTTTCTCATAAACCAATGCACAAGTTACATGAATCCTAGAAGGTGCCATCCTGAAGCATGATTATGGAAGGTTAATATGTGCATGTATATTAAAAATATTAGAATTAGAATAAGACATAAAAATGGAGAGACTAGAAGGACGCTAATGCTGGAAATGCTACAAAAAACAATGCTGAATTTGATAACTCCGTCATGATCTTATCATGATGTGTCATTTTCTTCAAGAGGTAAACTACTACACGCAACTGATCTGGAGATGAGATTCATCACCCCAAAATGGAGCCAAATAACACAATAGAATTTTTCTCTTGCAAGGCCAAAGACACAGAAGATAAGATAAATAATATTACCTTGGTGAGGATGAGATTGAATAATATCTAGGCTGCAACCTTGGAGCAACAGCTGCAAAGAAAACACCAAGTGGAGGCCTGGTTGAAGGAAATTCAGCCATGACCTCAAGGAGGCTTCTCTGGTTTGCAACAATCCATTGTGCATATTCATCCTGTGTAATAAGAGGCCGGATGTATCGGTATACAAATAAGCAGAAAAATAGGGTAACAATAGTTATATAAATTCATTCCTCTTACCTTTCCAGAAGGCGATGCAAGATGTCTTAGTCGATCGGCCTCAGTTGAATCAGAGGCATGAGCAGCCAAAGCAAGCAAGGCAGACTGGAAGTGGAATTCATTAAAGAATTAGCGTTTTTATTCACAGAGAGAAGACCGTTATTATGTTTATCAATAAAATAATTAGTCTAACCTTTTTTGGCGAGCTCAAAAGATCAGCATTTCGTGCCAGTGCAGTTCTCAGAGTACAAGGTGGGAAAGGAGGAGGCAAAGAGCTTCCACCAAGTGACGTACCATCCTCTTTATCAGTATGAATAGAGAAATAAGTGTCTGGTGATAAACCCAATAAACTCAATGCTTCATCTACAACTTCATCAAGGTTCTCACAGTAAACACCAACGTGATCCCCAGTTTCATATCTGAAAAGGAAGACAATTATGAGAAGACAGTTCACTATGATGTTAAAAAAGAAAAGTTAAAGCTAGCTGCACTCAGCATCTAGTATTAGAAAATGAGGATAACAGGGGGGAGGTGGCATTATAGCAACACCAAAAAATTCCAATCCAGTAGCCGAAGACTCAAGAAAGCAACTTACGAAAGTCCGGTGCCAGCAATGTCAAATTCAAGGTGAGTGCAAGAACGATCAGATGCAGGAGTATGAAGCTCCTTCCTCACAGGCACATTAGACCTTCACGTTATGGTGGGAAAAGGTCAGAATTATCAAAGAATCATATAAAAAAAATGGGACATCCGGAAAAAAATATTCTAGCATACCTGCATGGATGTTGAGCATCATAAAAAGCATGACCATTTGCATTACTCCACTTCTTCTCCTCAAGGGGTGCATCTACAGGATCGTAAAATACAACACGGTATTCCAAAACAGCAGCAGTGTATGGGGTAGAACCAGTTGTCACATCATCTTCATCACGTAGAAGCTGATCTAACTCGGGCCATACTAATTCACGCCTAGAAAAGCAAGATAGTCCAATAAATGATAAAAGGGAAAAAAAAACTGAACAACCTTCTGATTCAAAACAGTGCTGAAGTTCTTAGTACCATGCTGTAAAGTCATCTTCCATGCACTGGTCATCGTCTCCCAGACCCAAAGGAACTATGCGCTTTGCTCCTGCAAATATCATATGAGGAATGTCAGCGAATAGGGGACAGATTTGGTGAAAACAAGATGAAGATGAATATGAAGCAAACTAAATAACAACCCAACTAAATACATGTACATTATTGCAATTTACTGAATTAAATAATATTTATGATATTTTAACTCCAAAATCCATTTGAGCAAGCAATGCACACTCCGATAAGCATTATCATAGTTCAAGTAAAAACAAAATATTTAGCAAACATCAACACATTCTTCATATAAGAAGCCATTAAGACAAAAAGTAATACAATTAAAAAACCGAACTCATTTATATAAGCAGGGGGAAGATAGAAGGAAAAAAACAAGTATACCCTGATCAATAAGGATCTCATCAACCACCTTTGCAACCTTGTTAAAATGTTCATACTGTTTGTTACCAAGGCCGAAAACTCCATACTTCAAGTTCTGAAGCCATTCTCCCCTCTCTTTTCCCTAAATACCAAACCACGCATTTCAATAATAGCTAA